TATGATGCTGCTTGGCCTGCTGTGTTCATCCAGCCCTGCACCTTGTTATATTGGAGACCCTCCAGCATGGAAAAAGGAACAGGATGTTTTCCATGGTTCGTCACAGAAAAGGTGCCCCAAAGTGGCCACTCTGTGTCCAAGCTCTTAGATCTAAAGGTCTGAACAGCCAAGTCTCAGGGCAGCATGTGTCTACATCTGAAGCTAGACAAACAAGGAAGGCTGTCACCCTTTCTCCAATACCTGTCTGGAGTTGAAGGCCAGCCAAGGACCAATCCAAAATACAAACTTATCATTGTTAGAAATCTTGCTAACTTACATTTTACATTTCTATTTTGAAAGGCTGTTAAATTTTGATGATGACAATTATTAAATGAAGAAAAATCCTTCTATTACTGTCAAAATCAGGGCAACAAATCTGTTTCTATTTTCTGTACAATTGTAAAGATTTTCACCTTGGGCAAAATTGACTGCAGCCCTGCAAGTTTAATAACAGAAGCCTTGTGTTTTATGTAGAAACAATCCACCTATTCAGATCCTTTCCTTCCACTTCAGTCAGAAGATTTATCATTTTTGAACTCTAGAGAATCCCTGATGGGAATGTTTTCAGAATCAACAAATGACTAATAATTGCATTTTTTTTCTCTCAGAGGATGTATTTTTATTAGAAACAGAATATCCCAAAAGTCTCCTTGTCTATGGACTGTTCACCTCTTCAAGGTAATGCCGAATTCAATGTCTTTAGTCTCATTTTTTTTGCTTTTATTTTATCCTGAAGGAGCTTTTATTGCATTTTCATTTAAAAGCAATTATATCATGATGTTAAACACATTAAAGTGATCACTTGCAAAATATTTTTACTACAAGGCAATTTATGTGCCTGTAGCTTACTAGAACAGAAAACTTTTTTTTTCTAAAAGAAAATTAGTTGTCTTTTGAAATGCCTTTTTTGATGTTGAACAAAACAGATAAGAGTCATTTGCAGTGTTAGCCAAATCTCAATCATGTTCTTTATTCATGAATGAATGTGATCTTTCGATAAATATTTGCATTTATGCTCTATTCGGTTATGAATGGCGGTGGGCAATTCGATAACTAACAGAAGGAGAAGGCTTCATAAATGTCCCCACCCTTAATGATGGAGAATCCAGCACATTAGTGCAAAAGACAAGGCTAAAGCATTCACAGTCATCTTCAGCCAAAGTGCTGAGTGAATAATAAGTCTTGGCCTGAGGTTCCCAGCATCATAGATGCTAGTCTTCAGCCAATTTGATTCACTTCATGTGATGTTGAAAAATGTCTGAAAGCATTGGATGCTGCAAAGGCAATGGGCTCTAAAAACATCTCTGCTGTATTATTGAAAACATGCTCTAGAACTGTAGTACCCCAACTTATACTGCTGCACTATGACTGCAACATTGGCATCTACCTGGCAATGCAGAAAATAGCCCAGATAGATCCCACGTGAAGCAGGACAAATGCAGTCTGAACAATTATTCTCAATCAGCATAATCTTGATCTTCCAGAAACTGATAGGAAGTGTTGGTAACACTATATCACGAAACATTCACTCACGAAAACTACTCTCAAGTGCTCAGTTTGGGTTCCCAACAGGCCCACTCAACTCTTGGCTTCATTATAGCCTTGGTCCAAACGTGGACAAAAGAGCTGAATTCAAGAGGTGAGGTAAGAGAGAACTGCCCTTTGACATCAAGGCAGCATTTCATTGCAAGTAGCATCAATGACCCTTAACACAATTAAGGGATTGTGCATGGGAAGAAAATTCTCCACTAGATGGCTCATATCTGGCACAAAAAGGAAGACAATTGTGGTTGTTCGTGTTCAGTCATCTCAGTTCCAGGATATCACTGCAATAATTCCTCTGTGAAGTGACCTAGGCCCAATTATCAACAGTTGCTTCTTCAATGACCTTCCCTCAATCATAAGGTCAGAAGTGGGATGTTCACCGATGATTGCACAACGTTCAGTACCTTTTGTGACTCCTCAAATAATGAAACAGTCTATACCTAAATACACCGAGACCTAGAATACCTTCAGATTTGCGTTGATAAGTGGCAAGTAACAATAATGCCACACATTACCACAAAATGACTATCATCAAGAGAGAATCTAACTATTGCCACTTGACATTCAATGGCATTACCATGACTGAATCCCTCAATATTAACATTCTGTAGATCACCATTGACCAAAACTAAACTGAACCAGCCATATAAACACTGCTTGCAAGGACAGGCTAAGAACTCTGCAGTGACTAACTCATCTCCTGACATTGACAAGCTTGTTTACCAGCTACAGGGTGCAAGTCAATGGTGTAATGGAATACTCTGCATTTGCCTGAATGAGTGCAGCTCCAACCACACTCAAGAAGCTTGACACCATCAAGAACAAAGCAGCCCACTTGTTTGGCACTAAGACATCACCACCTAAGACATCACTTTCTCCACCAGCAGCAAACACTATCAGTCAGGTGTCCTATCTACAAGATGCACTAAGTGACTGCACTGCTGTAAGTCACCAAGGTGACAGCATCTTCTAAATTCACGACCTTTGACACCTGGAAGAACAAGGGCATAGGACACTTGGGAACACCACCATCTGCAAGTTCCCCTCCAAGTCTCACAATTCTGACTTATTGGAACATAGGAACAGGAGTAGGCCATTGAACCCTTCAAGCCTGTTCCATCATGCAATGGGATCACAGCTGATCTGTGGCCTAAATCCATATACCTGCCTTTGGTCCATATCTCTTAATAATGATTGCAGCTGGACTTGAACCTGCAATTTACTGGTACCGCCCAATTAACACAGAAGTCAGTCATCTTATCAGTTAGGTCATATGAATACCTCAGGTAGAAACTGACTTGAAACTATATTATCATTCCTTCACTGTCACTGGGTCAAAATCCTGGAACTCATTTGCTGACATCACTGTGTGTTGTGCTGGAACCACACAGTTTAAGACAACAGCTCACAACCACCTTCTCAATAACAATTCTTCTTCTTCTTGAGTCCTCTGCCCAAACCCAGTTCTCTGATCTGTACCGTGGATAAGGCAAGGAGAGAGGTGTCAAATTTATCTCAGCCAAGAAGGGAATCAAATGCCATGTACAATCTGATCCCACCAACTGAACTAGCTGCACCTTCCTGAAAGAGTCTGAGTTTCTCTGGTAGTATACACATTTACATGTTGCAGTCCATAGTCACTTGTCCACCCTGGAATCACTCTCACTCTTACCCCCTGCTATTGGTGTACGTTGGAAGGATTTATATGTTGATATTCATCCTGTTTAGCTGCATGATGCATGCTATCCTTAGCAGTCAAATCCTGGGGTGAGACTGGAACCATGGCTTCTAGCTCAAGGCAGGAATGCTATCCACTGTGGCACAAGACCACCCAAGAATAATTGGGATTGGGGCAACAAATTGCCATTACTACTCACATTTTGATGGATGAAAGACAAGAAATGATCTCAGCCTTGTAGAATGAGGTTGTTACATTATTAGCATTGATTATTAATTAATGTTCCAAGAATAATATTGGCAGTACAGGGTAATACCCCTTTTATTCCACTGTCTCATATATCAAAAGATAACATAACCAATGAATGTATTCATTTCTGATAAGTTCAGAGAAAGCCTCATTCTTATTTGAATAGTGTAATTTTTGTCTCTTGTTTCTCATTTTCTTTATAAAGTTTACCTTTTTGTTTATATGATTTTAATATTCGGTGGTATTCTTTGTCTTTATCGATTATGTGGTACTGAATAAATGATTATAAAATTCCCATTTCTTATAATATTCATCACCATTAACTCTGCATTTCTTCTTCTTCCCATAGCTCAATATTTAAAGGTTCAGCTGTGTGTGTTTATAATATGCTTGATATTCACACTGTGTTCAATGGACCATTTGCTCATAAGGAAGGACCAAATCATCAATATGTCCCATACCAAGGCAGGATTCCATACCCAAGGCCTGGCACAGTAAGTAATAGAGATCTCAACTACAAAGAGCTGGCTTGCATAATAACACATTCAATTTTAGAGCTTACTTATCCATATGTTGAATTAGGCAGCAAAAGACCTCAGCAATTTGTAAAGGTTTTATTGTAAATCCACAATATAATAGAAACATCAATATCCACCTTTCTCTTCAGGACGCCTTCCCAGTCCAGAAAAAGACACCCACTGGGGAAGAACTCAGCCCTTAAATATGAAAATCCAAAGAATTGAACCCATTCTCAACACTAGAGCTGAAATGTTTGAGCCTTTAAAGGGATCTACATTTGTAACTCTGACATGAATCACTGAGTCACAAACCATATCCTTGAAGATATAACCTAGACTGGCATTTTTGTGCAATACACTGACTGGGTGAAATGCCTAAAATGTTGAATCCTTTCACTTTTAACTTATATTTCCTGATTTTAAAAAAGAATAATGATTGGATTGTTATAGAAGCTGAAATAATGCCAAAATTTATTTAAAAACAAAATATTAGCAGTTTGGCATTTTCCCAAATATAGGATCAGCTTTACATAGAACAGTACAGCACAGTACAGGCCCTTCGGCCCACGATGTTGTGCCGAACTTTTACCCTAATCTTAAGGTCTATCTAACCTCCACCCCTACTTTATACTATCATCCATATGCCTATCTAATAGCCGCTTAAATGCCCCTAATGAGGCCGACTCCACTACCCTCTCCGGCAATGCATTCCACGCCCCTACAACTCTCTGAGTAAAGAACCTACCTGAAACGTCTCCCCTGTATCTACCTCCAATCACTTTAAAACTATGCCCCCTCGTAATAGCTACCTCCACCCTAGGAAAAAGTCTCTGGCTGTCTACTCTATCTATACCTCTGATCATTTTGTACACCTCTATCAAGTCACCTCTCATCCTTCATCGTTCTAAAGAGAAAAGCCCTAGCTCTCTCAACCTTTCCTCGTAAGACCTTCCCTCCATTCCAGGCAACATCCTGGTAAATCTCCTCTGCACCTTTTCCAACGCTTCCACATCTTTCCTGTAATGAGGCGACCAGAACTGGATGCAATACTCCAGATGTGGCCAAACCAGGGTTTTGTATAGCTGTAGCATAACTTCACGGCTCTTGAACTCAATCCCTCTATTAATGAAAGCTAACACACCAAATGCCTTCTTAACAACTCTAGCCACCTGGGTGGCAGCTTTCAGGGAACTGTGAACATGAACCCCAAGATCCCTCTGCTCCTCCATACTGCCAAGAATCTTTCCGTTAACCCTGTATTCTGCTTTCAAGTTTGTCCTTCCAAAATGAATCACCTCACACTTTTCAGGGTTAAACTCCATCTGCCACTTCTCAGCCCAGCTCTGCATCTTATCAATGTCCCTTTGTAACCTAGAACAGCCCTCCGCACTGTCCACAATGTGACCCACCTTCACATCATCTGCGAACTTGCTAATCCACCCTTCCACTCCTTCATCCAAATCATTTACAAAAATCACAAATAGAAGAGGACCCAGGACAGATCCTTGTGGTACACCACTCAGAACTGAGCACCATGTTGAATAATTTCCGTCCAATACCACCCTTTGTCTTCTAAGGGTCAGCCAATTCTGAATCCAATCTGCCACATTTCCCCCTATCCCATACCTCCTTACCTTCTGTATGAACCTACCATGAACCTTATCAAATGCCTTACTTAAATCCATGTATACCACATCCACTGCTCTACCTTTATCCACGTGTTTGGTCAAAACACGCTTTTTGGTACTAGTGAGAATGTTGAAAAGTTAGTACACTCTTAAAAACTTGCTTACTCTTCAATCAACAAGGTTTAACCATTTTCAAGAGCTTTTAAAGCTGGACTAACAGCATAAGCATGGAAGTCCTCATCAACTCTTATCAATTTCATTCATTGTGGTCTGGAGAGACCTGGCATGAATCTGCTAGAGAATCTTAAAATCACTGGCAGCAACTTCTGGTCTTCCACACTATTCACACATAGGATTATAAGACTGCTTCACCTGCCAATAAGATTATAGCTGATCTTGGTTGTGGCGTTATTTTCATTTAATCCTTAAGACTTTTGTCTATCTCACTCAGCCTTGAATAAATTTAAAGACCCATCCTTGACTACCTTTTGGAAAAAAGAATTTCATATAATGATCCTTTAAAGACTGTTGCAAATCTCTGTCTTAAAAAGGAAAACTTCTTATTTTTAAAGAATATTCCCTGGTTTTAGGCTCCCCTACAAGAGGCAACAAGCACCAAGCATCCACCCTATTCTGTCTCCTCGAGATATCATATGTTTCAATAAGATAACAACTCATTATTCTAAACTCCTATGGGTACAGGCCTTTACTCATTGCGTCGTAGAGTTATACAAAACAAAAACAGACCAATCGGCCCAACCCATCCACACTGACCAGACCTCTCAATCTGACCTAGTCCCATTTACCAGCATTTGGGCCTGATCCCTCTAAACCCTTCCTATTCATATAATCATCAAGGTGCCTTTTAAATGTTATAATTGTCCCAGCTCCACCACTTCCTCTGCCAGCTTGTTCCATACACGCATCACTCTCTGCTTGGAAAAAGTTAGCCCTCAGGTCCCTTTTAAATCTTTCCCCCTCACCTTAAATCTATGCCGTCTAGTTTTGGACTCCCCTACCTTCGTTAAAAAAGAACCTTGGCTATTCACCCTATCCATGGCTGTCATGATTTTATAAACCTCTTTAAGGCTACTCCTCAGCCTCTGATACTCCAGGGAAAATAGCCCCAGCCTATTCAGCCTCTCCCTGTAGCTCACATCCTCTAACCCTGGCAACATCCTTGTAAATGTTTTTGGTCCCTTTCAAGTTTAAAAACATCTTTCCTATAGCAGGGAGACCAGAACTGAACACCGTTTTCTAAAAGTGGCCTCACCATTATCCCGTACAATCACAACATGATGTCCCAACTCCTGTACTCAATGCTCTAACCAATGAAATGTTCAAACTTTCTTCTTGAATAAGCTTTCAATCTTAGGATTGGGTCAAGTGAACCTTCTGTGAACTGCTTCTAAAACATTTCTTTTCAAATTAGGACGGCAAAATTATGCACGTTGCTCCAGATGTGGTCTCATGAATGCTCTGTACAGCTGCAGCAAAACTGCACTACTGTTAGGCTCCACGTACAGTCTCCAGAGATTGCTATCAGGTTCAATAGAGTAGTGGAGACGAATGGTGATAGTTTCATTGTCAGAAACTCTGTAAAGTCCAAGCTTTGGTTTTCTCGCTCTGTATTGTTGATCAGGTCAAAGCTAAAATGGCATGCATTGCCTTGTACACAAAGTTTTTAAAATCCCAAACATAATGTTCTCAATTTATTTACATCTAAATAGATGCATGAGCATCTTTTTACTTTCAACTTTAAATCAGTCCTTGATACTCAACTGTAATAATATCAGCAATCCCAGGAAGTTCAAAATTCGTTCAAGTGCTTGCTGAATAATGCTCTTGACATAAGAAAGGATGTATTAAGAACTGAATATTAGCTCTGAAAATATTATCTGTTCAAAAAGCTGAACCTACTTTGGCTATTGTTAATAATAATGTGTTTAAAATTGTTAAACAATAGGCATTTTAAACCCAACTGAAGTATGCAGATTAAACATGTACATGATTTTTTTTCAATTATCCTTGATTCCAATAATAATTAATAGATTCAGGTTTGATAAGTAATTGACATAGTCCGAATCAGGTAGAGTCAAAATATTGATACATAATCCTTTTCTTCAGCTGGTATGTGAATGTGCACTCCTAAAAGTGTATTCATTAACATAGCTAGTGGAAATGCTGCCATCCAATATCTAAATATTGCTAAAGGTAATTTTTTTTTTGCTGAACAAACAGAAATATGTCAGGTTCTCCTCAACCCCACAAATACCTTCCTTGCTAAGTCTGTATGAGCTAGTGTTGAAAAATCACATTAAATTCTTCTGTGCTAGAGGTAATCACTAACTATAAACTCCATAGAAACGATTCAAACAAACTTCATCTAAAGATCCAACAGATTTGAAGATTTTCTGCCTCTTAGCCTGAGCTGCAACAGAACTTTATCCCAGAGATAAATTTTTAAAAATTACTACTTAACTCACTGCATTGCCCTATTCCCATGAGTTTTAATTTTGTTGGGTACACACACTTAACAGTTTCAATTATGATTATGTTTTAATGAAAGGCATTGAAAGTCAGTATCACCCCCATCTTTCAGCATTAGAGAACAGAAAGAAAATATTTCAGTCATCCCACGATGATGTTTAAATCCCATAAAGCGGGGGCTCTTAACATCTGTCACCAATGGGATAAAGAAAACTGCTTCACTGTTTCCTACTTCCGGCTTGTCACCATAACAAGTACTGAAATAACTATACTACCCAGCTGTTCTACACTCTTCCATCTAGAAATATTTCAAATTCCTGTTCAAATAATTGAAATGTCTCTGTTCTTTTAAATCTGGATTGTCGGGGAAATTTTATCAGGTGACCAATTGCTGCGTTTAAAGAATGAAATGTAAACTCTTATTCATTTTGGACAGAACAAATATTTATAAGTTACTACTTAAAACACCTGGTTAACTTGTAGAGGTAGGATTTAATGAATATGTAAATGATTCACATATACTATGATGCAAATAGGACTCAGTTGTCATGTGATTGGACTTTGCTAAAAGGTTGGAACTACGGTATCTCAGAGCAGTGAGCTCTGCCTTATCACCATATTTATAGTTAATAACTATTATTTAAAATAAACCTTGAAGTTTGGTTTGACCTTCTATGAAGAATAGAACAACCCATACTAAAACAGATTGCAGCAAGCACAAATTACCAGACATAATATCAGTCCACATAAATAAAAACAAACCTCAAGAATCAAATCATTTAAATTTAAATCCAAGTCTGAGACAAGTTTTAAAAAAAAAAATTATTGGTGTTTAATGAAACAGATTTTTTTTTAGCTGCTTTGTATTACATTTTATTCTTCATCTTTAATTGTAGTGCCCCGGAGGAGCCTTTACACCAAACATATTGTCAACGAAGGATTTCCCAGATGAAGTGGTTACATTCATCCGAAGCCACCCCATGATGTATAATGCGATTTATCCAATCAATAAACACCCTCTGATTGTAAGGATTAATGCTGATTACAAGTACACCAAAATTGTAGTTGACCAAGTGAGGGCTGCAGATGGAAGATACCATGTTCTCTTCCTTGGCACAGGTAAAATGTCAAAGACAAGTGTTAAAGCCACTGAAGTTATCTTTCTTGTTCGTTTTAGTTGTGGCTCTGTTGCTAGCACTCTTGCCTCTGACTTAAAAAATTGCAGGTTCAAGTCCCACCCCAATATCTGCAGCAAAACAAAAATCTAGGCTGACAGTCTTGAGCAGTTCTGAAGGAGTATTGCACTGTTGAAGATGTTAAACAGAGGCTTTCTCAGGTAGCTGTGAAAGACCCCATGGCAATATTTCAACCAAGAGCAGGGGGTTTTGCCCAGTCTGCTGGCCAGAATTTATCCCTTAACGAACGTCATAAAACACGCTTCCTGTTCATTGTCACAGTGCTGTTTATGGAATCTTGCTATGTGCAAATCGGCAATCACATTTCCTACATTATAACAGTAACTGCATTTCAAAGGTATTTCAAAGCTCCCATTGCTCATGAAAGGTGCTGTATAAATGCAAGGTTTTGTTTTAAACCAAACATTACTCCTGCTCCTATGTTCCTGTATAAACAGGTAGACTGGAAAGACTGGCAGTCAGAACAGACTGATTGGCTATATCCACTATGATGTCACTTGCCCAAAGGATTCTTCTCTCAACCCACCAACAATGCTGGGCAGATGGCACCAGAGAGCTAGATGGAGAGGTCTGCCATTGGCGGCAAGCTGAATCCTCTTTGTACCTCCAGGCAGGCACACTGCAATTCTGACCCAACAGGATGGTGCTGCAGGGTAATGAAGAACAACAGGGTCTTGTGTGAATCTGCTCCATGTCAGCCACCATTAGACGGATGATGGATCCTGCTTGCTGGGTCACTTTCCGACAGATTGTTGTCTGTATCTTGGCCATTTCTTCATTTAATTTTTGCCTCTAATTTCTTCAGTTTGTCCCTGTCCCTGATAAAAGTTTTGCAGAAGTTCTAAATTAAAGACTTTTGTACCCCCATATCTTTTTGATAGTCTGCATCCTATGTGGTCCTGCTATGAATAATTGTGTAATGGTGGCATAATAGCTGACTACCAATTTACTCCTTCCATACATCCAAATCTACAGCTAAAGCTGTGCTTGTGGAGCATCCAATGAACTATAGGGTGCCAGCGTGACATTTCACTTCAGGTCTTCATAAGACACTTTTCAGGTTAGTTGGGGGCAATTTTAACTCTGACAATAATGTAAAATGGGCGATAGTGAATTGACTATTCAGTGTACACACATCTTCTTTAACGTTTCAAAATGAAAATGATCCACTATAGTTTATTTTACCCAGTCACTAAATTAGTGTTACACTGCAACACTGGAATTGGAAAATCTAGGAGCTTATTTAATATTTAATCCAAGCAAGAAAATTATGAATCTTAGTATTCCATTTGAACCAATGTTCATTTTGCAATATAACTTTTTTCTAATGTGTCTTTCAGATAAGGGAACTATCCAGAAAATTGTTGTTTTGCCTAAAAATGCATCAGCTAATGAAGAACTTATTTTGGAAGAACTGGAAGTTTTTGAGGTTTGACTGAGTATTTTATCAGAGCAAATTAAACAATGTTGGCAGCTTTTATATATTAGATCGGAATTTATAACAAAGCCTTTCCAAGCTTAACTCAGTAGGGTTGGGTAGGTGAAAAGATGCTGGTTAAAATCATGAAAAGAGTTAGATGCCGTGTAGCAGATCCATGTGGAAATAATCAGGGCTCTCTTTATATTCAAACTGCTATTTTAGGTTCAAACCAGAGGACGTACAGAGCGTGCTGCTAATTATACAAGTCCCCAAAGATCTGCAATTTTTCCTCAGGCTGCCAAACTGTTTATGCTTTGAAGTTGAATGCTCTGGATTTAATGTTATACTCGTAGAGTGTGTTCGCATGTTAACACTGTGCAGACTGTGACATGTTGAGATGAAAAGTGCTGCTCATTTATCACATCATTAACTTCTTTGGCTTTTTTAAAAAATTCTGGACATAGATTTCAGGCAATTGCAGTCAGCATGCATAATCCTTTAAAAGATAAATAGTGACAGTAAATATGGTCATATAATTCCTTGAAACTCTGGATCTAATACTCCCTATGATCCAATCTCCTTTGGACCCTGTGGAGTCCTGCATTTGGATTAATCGGGAAGAAGCAGCTTGGAGTCAGCAGTTTTGAAAAGTAATTGGTATAAAAGAGTCATTTAAAAGTTCATAAAACAAAATATTTATTTGAAACACAAGTAGATTTCCCTTGTCCAAGCACATGGGCAAGTGGGTTGCCAACTCTGTTTGGCATCATTCCTGAAGGCATTATCACATGGTCTCTTGCCTCCAATCCTCACACAGTACAGCTATCGATCAGCCAAAATCATCATTTTCAAGTTACATTGCACTGCCTTTCCTGCTGTTCATTGGCTGACTGAATAATACTGGACTATCAGTCGAAGGGCGTTTTATCCCAATCACAATATTTTTCAAGCAAACACATTTTCAAAGAAAATGAAAAAGCCGTGCATTTTTTTTTAAAATGCCATTTTGGTCATTCTTCCAGGTATCTCACATTAATGTTTGGGAATGTAACCTGCCATTCCTGGACACACCAGAACAATCCTGGAATGTTTTGTAAAGCTGTAGGAATTTCAATAGAACCTACCGAATTTCTCACCTTTGCTTCCACAGAAAACTTGAAATAATGGGAGAAATGGTTATTTCTTGTTTGTTATTTCTCAATTGACTGCCTCATTGAATTCTGACAAAATTCTAAATAAGGGAATCAAAACTGAGAAGAAAACAGAGAATGCTAGAGAAGCTTAGCAAATCTGGCATCATCTATCGGGAGAGAAACAGAGTAAAGATTTTGTGTCCAAAGATTCTTCTTCAGAACAGATGAGGGCTGGAAAAATGTTTTTTTAGTGTTCTTAACAAAGGGAAAAGAGGGTCAAGGGGAACAAATGGTAAGGATGCTTACAGCAAAAGACAAAAGGCCCTTCTAATGGTAAAGGAGTGATTGAGATGTAATCTAGGTATCAATGGAAGACTTCAATAGCAGAAAATTAGTCAGCTCTGCTAAAAGCAAGGCAAAAAGGCACAAACAAGATGCTGTGGTGTGAGTGAGATAATAAAAATGGAGTTCCATGTTCATGTTCTCAAGTTATTGAATTCCCTGCAGAATGCTGAGAGTGGAGAAGAGGGAAAGATCTGCTTGGTAGTGGCATCTCAGTTACTAACTAAGCCTGGCCTTGTTATCAAAGCTGCTGTTAAGGGTGGGGTATGACAAACTATGTTGCAAAGGCTGAGCATCAACTCTAAGACACTTTTCCTATCTCCTGCTTGACCAGGACCCCAGATTTCAGTTTTCCAGCCTCCACCATATTCTGTTTTCTTTGAATAAAAACAAATTATAGTTTTAATGTGAACTGGGGATATAGACTGAAATGTTAGGATTGGTGTGTGTATATGTGATGTAAATCCTATTTTAAAAGCATTATATCTTTAGTTTCATATTTCCAATAGTTATATATTGAATAGAAACTGAAAATTTAGATTATCTGTTGAAAAGTTCACAGTCCAGCTGTTGGACCATGGGTTCCATTGGGAGAAAATGGGATTAAGTATATAATGTTATTTTAAACATGGTGAAAGCGACTTGATTGAAAGTAAGTTTTAGCATCTAAGTTTAGTTTTGATTACTACAGTTTTGAATTTGACTGCAGGAGCTAAACCAGATACCTACACATTTAGCACTCCAGCGCTGATTAGCTATAATTCTCATGGAGCAGTCAGTGTGGGATCCATACGCCCACTTGCACTGAGGGTGTGGAGTGTGTCGGCTCAGCAAACGGTGAAAAGTTGCAGAATGCCTCAGGCACTGAGTAAGAGGCTGCACAGTTTTCTGAATGCAGCAGTGACAGTAAAGATGGAGGAGGTCCTGTACCTGCAACAGGGAGGCAATCGATCTCGTTCCCCATCCTTCCTGTCCTTCTCTCCTGCAGCAACTGATGCTCCTCTGCCTGGCATCATCTGCTCTATGCATTGCTCCTGCTGCAGAAAAGGAACCACACCGTCCCCCAGCCCAATTCCCATGACCACACCCACCCTTTCTGCAGATCACTCCTGTAAGCGTCCGAGATGGAACACCATAACACTTAAACCTTTTGGGTGAAATTGTCTGAGAATGTCCAGGACAAATGTGGCTGGAGAAATTGATGAAAGTTTGATAAATTATTCCAGAAAGAGTGTTCTTTTTTCCCAAAAAGCTTCTGGAAACTTTCTGTAGCAAATGAATAGTAAAAGATGATACACTATAAATACTCGAGTGACCCTGTTTACTGCTGTTTGGCTGGCTCCTATTGAGAGACCAATAAATAAAGCATTGCTCATCAAAATGACATGCAGCCTCTTTAATGAGCATCATCAGGCAACTTAGTTATCTATCTGTGCCTTAATAATGCTTTGGCTAGCAGTTCTAAAATGATGCTTGTGTTAGATGCAGGCAAACCTGCTTCCCATCTGCCATCTGCTGATCTCATAGTTAGAGCTGCATTCCATGTTATCAATTTGTCTATCAAAGCTGTGTGTGAAAAGCACTGCTGCTTTTCTCCAGCTTCTCCTACCCAGCTCACCTACTTTGTCTTCATCAAACTGTTACTCTCCCACCTCATTACCAGTTCTATCAACACCATTCTATATCCACTGTTGCTCACTTTCTGCTTCAAACTGACCCCACATACAGATCTTCTGCTAGCTATTTGCTGATACAGGCCTACCCCATGCCATGTGGATCATATGTGCTCACATAGGAGTCATTGCACAATTATATTTTCATTGTTGAGTTGAGACCATGCTAGCTCGGCCTACATTTGTTGCCCACCCCTAATTACCCAGTGGCGAACCCCTTATTCTGCCACAGTTCATGTGATGTCAATACATCTGCTGTGCTGGAGATAGTAGGAACTGCAGATGCTGGAGAATCTGAGATAACAAGGTGTAGAGCTGGATGAACACAGCAGGCCAAGCAGCATCATAGGAGCAGGAAGGCTGACGTTTCGGGGTCTAAGGGTCTAGGCCCGAAACGTCAGTTTCCTGCTCCTATGATGCTGCTTGGCCTGCTGTGTTCATCCAGCTCTACACCTTGTTATCTTACATCTGCTGTGCTATTGTGGAGTGAATTCAGGAATTTGACCCAATGACACTGAAGGAATGTTAATATAGTTCCCATGTACCTGCTGCCCTTTTCCTTCCAGGTGGCAGAGGCTGTAAGTTTGGAAGGATCTGTCAATGGAGTTCTTTTTGAGTTGTTGCTGTACATCTTACAGATGGTACACGCTGCTGTCACTGTGCGGTATGGGAGGGCAAGTGAAAGATGGTGCTTTGGTTGCCACAAAAGGGGTCTGCTTTGTCCTGAATGATGTCAAGCTTCTTGAGCATTGTTAGGACTGCACTTATCAAAGGCAAATGGATGGCATTTCATCAAAGTTCTTAGGTGCAGCTGAGCAGGGGTCAATGAACATCCTTCTCTTCCCCCTCCTCACTGGACTACAACAAACGTAAAACTTATTTCCTCACATAAGATTATACCTGTCTCTAATAAAATGTAGTTACTTACTGTCTACTGTATCAGTAAGGAGGCAATTTCCAAGTATGCTTAAGTAAAAAAGACCATATTTATTGTCTGCTAGCTTTCCAAAAAATAATAGACACAACGTCAAACATACATGCAATAAAGGTACAAATTAAAAAGTGATAGCTTCCAGTGCAAAATAAAAATGAAAGGAATATTCAGCTTACAGTCCCCACAGTGTCCCTTAGGCATATGGTTTTATTGTGAGACCACAATTGTAAATTGTCTTGTATCCACTGCAGCAGTAAATATTTCGCTTGTCCTTTGGTGTTTTGATGTTACTTTTTAATCATTTTTTTCACTAGGCACTTTTCCTTTCTGAAAGGCCAAAAGAGCACTCACTTCAATTAGTTTCAATACCAAATCCATCTCCCTCTGCTCTGCAAAAAGCACTTTCTGAAAATTTAAGCTAGTTGAGAATTTCAATGTTTGAGTTCATTGTTTTCAGGCTTGATAATTGCAGATGATGTCTTTCGTCTCCACTGTATGAAAACATATCATACAGGTGTAAAACCAAAATAAGGGGTGAGTTTTCCCTTCCTGCCTGGCTGAGTGGACTAGATTTAGTGTCCTTTGATAAAATGGTAATTTCAGTTTAGATGATTTTGTGTATTCCATGTTAGTTGCGTAAAGCTTGGCTAGCCTGCGTAGTTCACTGATTGTTGTGGTAGTTATAAGTCAGTGTTTTGTCCCCTTGTTAAAACCATTTCAGTCCATGAAAATCCCAGGCATTAAAATCAGACAATGGAATTCAGAGATCTAAAATCCATATTTTATCACTTTAACATTAAACCTCATAGATGGTGAACAGGATTTGGAGAGTCAGGAGTCGGGTCACTCCCCACATCATTCCTATCACTGACCTGCTCTTAAGGCCATTGCATTTATGTAACTGGTCAAGTTAAGTTTCTAGTTAATGACAATCCTAGGATATTGAAGTTGATCATTCTATTAAACAAAGGATAAAAACAATAAGACACTCTAAGATGGTAAAATGTTTCTGCATGAGCATTATCCTGATAACTAGTGATGTCGAGTGAGCTCCTTATGTTCCTTTCTATAGCACACTTTTATCTAATTGTTTAACATTACATTAATTTTTTAGTCACTGTGTTATAAACACATTGTGAATGAGTTCTTTTAAACGAAAGGAAAGGAATTTTTTAAACTTCCTTTGCTAATGAAAAATGTGTGATTTTTATCATTTGCCAGAAGGCATTGATCTGTTTCAGCATTTCCTGTTAGTTTTCTGATCCCACTAGTTGTATAAAAAAACTAATTTGATTATGAAATAAGAATGTACATTCTTTCTGAACAAAATAACAATTTTTAGAAGTAGCTGTAAGGCAGACGGATCTGAGTTAGTGTTTTTTTTAAGGACACTTAGAAGTGACATATGATAGCGATGTTTCTGTGCTAGTCACGGTCACAATTGTTGCTAGAGCCTGAAGCAAATGCAACATAATTCAAGGTGACTTTTTATTTTCTCCAAGAGTGGAATGTCTTTTAGTTACATCACATTTGGTTGGACAGTCTGGCTGAGAAAAACACATGGACCTCATCCAACTGAAAGAAATGAGTGAAAGAGACAGCAGCCAATGGGACTTGCACATTTGACCCTCTGATTATGAGCCACAATCTCAACCACTGGAGGAATCGGGCTGCCAAAACATTTATTATTTAAATTTGCACAGTTTATACGAAGGCAATGTCCCCGAGATAGAGACACGGAAATATTCGGGAATCTCAAACTATAGTTCTTCGCAAATGCAATCCAAAATCTCTACGTTAAATTCAGTTCTTTTTTTACTTTGGGGAAATTCAAAAGGTGACATAATCAACAAATGTAAGTGCTTTGATTGGGCTAGAGATGCGAGCAACACCTAACTAATAACATTAAATGTTAGCAGGATGCGGGAGCTGCTTACAAAGCACGAGTCATAAAGGCAGTCAACAGCCATGACAGGGCTTGCTATGGCCTTTCAGAAGTAGTGCAAATCCCACCACAACACCTGGTTGAAATTAAATGCAATTAGTTAATAAATTTGGAATATTGTGCAAATATGATTAATAATGATCATGATACTGGTGGATTGTGAAAACTAATGTTTTGTGGGCAGGAAATCTGCTATTCTTTCCTAGCCTGGCCTACACTTAAATACAGATTGCAACACTCACCCACACACCACCTCCCTCACCTCCATTCAGGGCCATAAACAACCCTTCAAAGTGGGACAGAGCTTCACCTGCATCTCCTCCAACCTAGTCTATTGCATCCGGTGCTTCCGATGTGGTCTTCTCTACATCAGTGAGACCAAATGTAGACTGTTTCGCCGAGCATCTCTGCCTGGTCCGTAACAGCTGACGTAATCTCCCGATCACTGCCCATTTCAACTCTCGGCCTGCTCCCCCTCCGACATGTTCATCCTCAGCCTCCTACAGTGTCTCAGCAACTCACGATACAAATTTGAAGAACAACAACCTTATCTTCTGCCTGGGCACCCTACAGCCCAGAGGACTCAACATTGAGTACTCCAATTTCAAATAACCTGCCCACCCGTCTCACGCCTCCCTTTTAGCCCCACCTCCTCCCTTCTATTCCACCTTCTGACCCTCCCTTCCAGCCACCGACCAGATTAATCCCGCCCATCGACCAACCAGGTTGTACCTACTACCACTGTCCACCTATCACCACCATTCCACCTCCAACTCTCCCTTCCTACCCCCATATCCAGTCCTGTAGAAGGATAATACACGAAACACTGACTGCTCCTTTCCTCCAGATTTTGCCTGGCTTGCTGTGTTCTGCCAGCCTCCTGTTTAACTCCTTTGGATTCCAGCATCTGCAGTATTTTTTGTTTAGAATCACAGCAATGTGGCTGACTCCTTAGCTGCCCTCTGAAATGGTGTAGCAAGCCACACAACTACAGTAACCTATGACAGGAAGAATCTCAGCAAATGTACCTACAACACGTGGAATCCTGTGGTTAAGGCAATTACGGATGGGCAATAAAGGCTGGCCTTGCCTGCAATGCTTATGTAATGTACCAGGTGTACAAGTTAACCTTAAAATAATTATAACCCACTTCTCTTGCAGAATCAATCAGCTATCACAACAATGAAAATTTCATCCAAAAAGGTAGATTTTTATTTGATTTGCTGCAATTTTTTTGGCATTTCATTATACTTCAAGATTAAAGGTTGGCTATCAATGTATTATACCTGATAATGTCATGATGTTTTTTAATTAAGTGGTTTCTCACTGTTACAGCTCAGTTATAGTGAGTATTTGAATGAGTGCAAAGTGATTTCATTTTGCATTGGCAGAAGGACTCAAATATAATTAAAAATGAAGTGGTTGATCCAATTACAATAAACACTGACAAGCAGTGCAAGAATGCTTTGAACAGGTACTTGGTTACTTTATGCAATATGAATACAACCTGCATGAGGATTTAAAAAAATCAGGAAATATTCATGGGTTGTTACATTGTTCCAAGCTTTATTTCTAAATGTTTTATGCAGACTTGAGATCTCTTTGTTAACTTATTAAAATTGTCACCTGTAAATGCTGGTGAACATAATTTTGCAGATCTGTCAAACCAATACCCACAGTGAGTAATCAATCATAAATACCTTAATTCAACTGAAGAAACAATGTTGTTTCATTAAAACCAAAGGTGGGTCAAGTAGAATCTGACATAGACTTCTCCAAAGCAAGGAGGTGTTCAGAATGAAAACCATGTAGAAATGTACCTAGCTGTCCAGTGCACCATTGCAAAGTTATACTTGTCAGTTTGAAGAAATCAGATGGCATGGAACATCAACAAACTCTTGAAAATTTTAAAAGACAGCAATGTGTCATGATGTAATTTTCGACAATATAATTTAGGGCAATAGTATCAATTCATTTTGAAATAAAGTTTATAACACTACGATGTAAATGGTTACAGAGTATTTAATGCATAAAAGAAAAAGTAACAATAAATATCAAATAATTATCAACTTAACAGTTCCCAATCACATAATGAAAATGCTAACAGAAGCTTTGTAATTATGAATGGGCTTTATTTTTAACCATGTTTTAATAACTGATATTATAAAACAATCTAAATGTTAAGTTACTTTATGTCAACGATAGAAAAGATAATGGAACCCTTACTCAAAGATGCACTAGTGTAACATTTAGAAACTGAAATATAACTACAGTGAGCATGATTTCCAAATAGGTCATGCTTGACTAAGCTTAATGAATTCTTCAAAGTAACAAATAAATTTGGGTATTTTGGTACACTTCATATATTTGGATTGCCAAATCACCTTCAGTCAGGTATCATATAATAATCTCGTGACTAAGGTCAAGACATATGATTGGAAGCTATGTAATTTTATTGTTGGTGGGTATGAAAGGGGTTTTCAGTCATAGAAAAATGTAAAGATGCTGGGTAGCTGCTTAGAACCATCCAACTTCTACACTTACCTTCAGCACGCCCGATATGCCTGTTCCGTGTACAACTCCTTCAGGAGAGCTTAGCATTCTCCACACACTAATTGCTCAATTACAGCAATACCAACATGGCATCTTCTATTTGATGATGGGACCCTGGGATTTGCAGGATTCCTAGGGCTTGCCAATAAAGATAAGTTGAGAAGACAATGGTGATTCAGGGTGCTGGTGAAATGGGGAATATGTCAATAAGTACTGAAATCTCACAGCTTCTCTCCTAGCTGCTTCTGTGAGAGATTTAGTTCACAGCACTTCAACTGAAAGCTTGGTTTTGTAACTTTGAAGTTTTGATTATCTGAATAAAGCTGAGGGCATGTTGGCCCTGATTTCAAGGGATTGGAATATAAGAGTAGGAAAGTTCTATTGCAACTGTACAAAGTGCAAGTGAGACGACGTGTGGGGTGTACTGTGAGCAGATTCGATCCCCTTGTTTAATGCAAAGTATCATTTCATTATAGGCAGTTCAGAGATGGATCACTAGGTATGGAGGGGTTGCCTTATAAACAAAGGTTGAACAGGAGGACTCGGGAGATGTCAGTACATTTCAAAATCAAGTAACAGGACAGAGTATAGAAACAGCTAGGAATCCTACTTCAGATATGGCAGGTAAAGGAAAAACTGTAGGAAATGTGTTGATTAAACCAGAAGAGAGATAATAAACAGGTGTATAAAATGTCAGTACTGAGGGACAGGTTAGAGTGTATGATCCAAATATGAGTTTTATACATGAATGTACAGAGTGTAAGGAATAAATTTAAATGAGCTGCATGCACAAATTCAAATGGAGGTTATGATACAATAGCCATAACTAAGACATGGCTGCAGGATGGTTGGGTTTGGGAACTAAATAAACCAAGTGATCAGGTTTACAGAATGGATAGGGAAAATGGCAGATTAGGTGGAGTAGCCTTACTGATTAGAAACAAAATTACTCAGTAGTGAGGGAGAATATAATGAGGGGAAAGCATTCAGTGGAGACCATGTGAGTGGAACTGAGGAACAGTAAAGGATCTAAAACGGTACTAGGTGTTGTGTACAGGCTAGCTAGAGCAGCTCTGAAGTGCCAGATTGTATAAATGTAGAAATTAGGCAAGTGTATAGCAAAGGCAGAGTAGTATTAATGGGGGGTTTTAACTTTAATATAGATTGGGAGAGACAGACAAGCATCTCTCAGAAAATTAGTGAATTTCTGGACTATGTATGTTCCTACAGTGATATGTTCTGGATGTCACCACGGGATAAACAATATTGGATTTAGTAATGACTAATGAGCTGGATTTAATTAGTTACCAAATTGTGCACGAACATTTATCAAGTAGTGATTATAACATGATCAAGTTCAATGTAGCATTTGAAAGTAAAAAACATGGAAAAGCTACGAGAGTTTTAGATTTAGATAAGGCCGACTTTAACGATATGATACAGAGACTGTCCACAGTAAACTGGGAAAATCTGCTAATGGATAAAACAACTCAAGAACAGTGGAGATAACACAGTGTGAAGTTGGAGGAGCACAGCAGGCCCAGCAGTATCAGAGGAGCAGGAAAGTTGACATTTTGGGTCAGGAAGGGTCCTGACCCGAAACGTCCACCTTCCTGCTCCTCTGATGCTGCCTGGCCTGCTGTGTTCCTCCAGCTCCACACTGTGTTATCTCTGACTCCAGCATCGGCAGTTCTTACTATCTCTGAAGAACAGTGGGGGATGTTTAAAATAAACATTTTACACAAAACAAAACCAGGGAAAAGTTCCACTTCAAAAGTAAATAGCCATGGACAACTAAGGAGATAAGGACAGCATAAAACTGAACGAAAAGACTTTAAAATGCAGAAGAAAAGCAGAGATCCTGAAGATGTGACTAAGGCAGTGGACAGAGGAATGTCTTTAGATATTGTTTATATGGACTTCCAGAACATATTTAATAAAGTCCCACATAAGAGATTATTAATTAAGGTGGAAGCCAAGGGTTTAAGGGCAAATTACTGACATGGCTGAAAATTGGTTGAGTGGTAGGCGACAGAATGTAGGAGTAATAGGCAGTTACCCAAATTGGCAGGATGTGTTCAGTGGTGTCCCGCAAGGATTTCTGTTAGGGCCTCAATTATTCATATTATTTATTAACAACTTGCATAATGCCCTTAGAAAGTCATATCCAATAAGTACTGAAAAAACTGCGGGTACTATAAATCAAAGACGAAAATAGAAATTGCTAGAAAATCTTAGCAGGCCTGGCAGCATCTGTGGAGAGAAATCAAAGTTCACATTTCAGTTTGAGTGACTCTTCCTCAGTCGTATATCCAAATTTGCTGATGGCACAGAATTAGCCAGCATTGTAGATAGTGCAGATGAAGTATAAAATTTCAAAGGCGTAGTGATAGATTAAGTGAATGGACCAAACTGTGGAAGATGGTGTTCAATGTAAGTATGTGTAAGGTTATTCAGTTTGGTCTGAAAAAGGATAGACCAGGTACTTTCCAGATGGTATGAAGTTAAATACAGTGGGTGTCCAAAAAGACTTGGGGTTTCAGGCACATCGATCTTTAAATGTTATGAACAGGTGCAGCAATTAATCAAGAAAGCTAATGAAATTCTGGCCTTTTTATCTGGAGGATAGGAGTACAAGGTTGCTGAAATTATATGTTGCAGCTATACAAAACTCTGGTTAGACTCCACTTGGAGTACTGTGACCAAATCTGGGCACCACACCTTAGGAAGGATATATTGGAGTTACTACAAGGAGAGGCAGTACAAATTAGGCCTGTTTTCTCCATAATTTAGCAGATTAAGGGGTTATCTGATCAAAGTCTTCAAAATATTAAGATGGGATAGGGAGGGTTAGTTTACTATTTCCACTATTTGGGGTTTGTAGGACTAGGGGACATAGTCTGAGAATTAGGGCCAGACTATTCAGGAGAGATGTTAGGAAGCATTTCTACACACAGAGTAGTAGATGTTTGGAACTCTCTTCCACAAATGGCAGTGGATGCTAAGTTAGTTGTTAATTTTAAATCTGAGATAGATCATTTCTTGTTAAGCAACGGTATTAAAGGATTTGGGCCAAAGACAGGTATATGGAGCTAGACCACAGATCAGCCATGATCTCATTGAATGGTGGAACAGACTTGAGGGGCTGAATGACCTACTCCTGTTCCTATATCTTTTGATTTTATGGTTTGATGGAGTTGAGAGGTAAGCTACTCACTGCAGGAATCCTAGCCTCTTATCTGCTGTTATAATGACTGTATTTATATGGCTAGTCCAGTGCAGTTTCTGGTCAGCGATAACTCCCAGGATGTTAACAGTGGGGGTGCAGTCATGGTATTGCCATTCATTGCCAGTAGGAGATTGCTGGATTCAGTCTTGTTGGATATGATTATTGCCTGGACTTGTGTGGTGTGAATATTATTTCTACTTGTCAGCCCAAATGTATTATCAGGGAGGCAATGGCCTAGTGGTATTACTGCTGGACAGTTAATTCAGAAACCCAGATAACATCCTGGGCACCTGGGTTCAAATCCTGCCATGGCAGATGGTGGAACTTGAATTCAATAAAAATATTTGGAATTAAGAGTCTAATGATGACCATGAATCCATTGTCAATTGTCAGAAAAACCCACCTAGTTTACTAATGCCCTTGAGGGAAGGAAACTGCCATCATTACTTAGTTTGACCTACATGTGACTCCAGACCCACAGCAATGTAGTTGACTCTGAACTGCCTTCTGGGCAATTAGGGGTGGACAATACATGCCTAGCCAGCGACATCCTTGTCCCGTTAATGTATAAAGGGAAAAAAAACCTGGATATTGTTCAGGTCTTATTAAATTTGGACATAGGCTGCTTTAGCATCTGAGGAGTCGCAAATCATGCTGAACATGTGCAATCATCAGTGAACATCCCCAATTTTTTTCCATTATATACTGAGTAGGATTGAGAACTGTAATAGATTGTTAGGAGTTTTTTTTGTTTACTTCAACTGGCTCCTTAGGTCAAGCCATCAGGGATACAGCACGTGTGGTATGAAGCTGTTATGGGTGGGTGTGAATGGGTTGAGGTACAAAGGGAGTAGCTGGGGGAATAAGTTGTTATGGAGGTGGCATAAGGTGTATGAGGTGGCATGGTGTGTGAGGGGCATGGCATGAGGAGTAAGGACTAAAGAGTCTAACCATTTCTAAAAAACTGGGACAAAATCTCAAAAAGCTAAGGTGGACAATTTAATCAGTCTGCCTCGTCATTTGCCCGTGACCATGGCCACCTACGATTTGCTTTCTGTATTGGCTGTGTGAGATCGAGTTCAAAGAAGCAGATGACCAGGATCAGTGAGTGGCGAAAATAGCTTCTTTATTGCACCTTCACAGCAGCACAGTGTAAAGCGAAATAGAATTCCCCAAAATCATAGCTCAAAAGCAGCCATTTTATACAGAATTCAAGTATACATTAACATTCTAACACTTGAGTGTTAAGCAGTAGACATTGTACAAAAACTGTTTTGCAGGAAATCGGAGATGGTTTAAACATGTACTAAATGTTACCGGTTATTGTTGAGTGTTAATGGTTATTTTAATGAGATTAGAGTGACCTTGCATAATTCAAAAGGTGTTAGTCTTGTTTAGTTAGTTTCGTGGTTGCGTCCATCTGTGGGTTCTATTTACTATCATTCATTCATTCTTTCAAGGTCGTGTGGGTCTGGACAGAGCGCCGTTAGTTTTATTAGTAAGTTAAAGGTTGCTTACATACACTGCATAGCGTTTGTTAGTTCTATTAGTGGAGTAAAGTTTTATATACATGTTGAATAAAGACTTGGGACAAGTACCTAGCTAAATCATATACAGGAAAAGTCTGCAGGGCTATCCAATTATCACCTTTGACTGATACTTGGAGTCACTCTAGCTGGAGGGAGAAGATAAACGACTTGGTAATAGCAGCTATTCAGTTGAATTTTAATATCAAATAACACTGTTTTTGGTGTGGGGGTGCAAAAAGGTTCCATCCTGTATTGTCTGCGCAGTTTTGTTAGCCGTCACGCCTGACTGCACCTTTGAATGGAATGTCCGTCTTGTTTAAATGGGTCCAGAGAAGGTAGGAACTGCAGATGCTGGAGAATCCGAGATAACAAGGTGTAGAGCTGGATGAACACAGCAGACCAAGCAGCACCAGAGCAGCAGGAAAGCTGACGTTTCGGGCCTAGACCCTTTCTGAAATCTTTCTGAAGAAGGGTCTAGGCCCGAAAGGTCAGCCTTCCTGCTCCTCTGATGCTGCTTGGCCTGCTGTGTTCATCCAGCTCTACACCTTGTTATCTCTTGTTTAAATGGTGTTGTTTACATAGCGTGTTATGCATGAGTGCACTTTCAAGTGGGGTGTAACCGCAAATTGAATTGGTTGTAATGTGATACGGTAGCAAACCCCTGAATTAGTTTGAATGGGGGCTGGCTAGTACATGGAAATCTGCAGTTAGTATCATAACCACGAATTAGTGGGTTAATGGATTAATTAACATGATTTATGGAGTTATATTAAAAGTTGTTAACACATTTGAATTCTGATATAACAGCTGGCTTGACTCAATTCCAGCTATTCACCCTGGAGCAAAAATTGGATCGAATGATGCCATTAGACTGAGTTGAATCTGTTGTGAAGGTAGTTTCTTGATTTGAGCTACCCACCTTGATAGCAAAAGTCCAATTTGGATTGTCTAAATCAGAATTGAAAAGCAGAGAGGTTATATGTAGAACACATAGTTGGAGTTCTGTACATCATTCAGGTCTGAATTTTATAAACAGGATAAGGAAGCACTAGAATGCAAAAGATTTGCCAGAATTATAATGGAATTGAAAGGCTATTCAGAGGATTTGATTAAGATGGTGCTCTTTTGTATGGAAAGCTGGAATGGTGACCTGACTGAGGTCATTAAATTATAAAAGGCTTTGATAGGGTAGATTTATGAAATATTTAAGATAGTTATTAATAGCCCAGTGATGAAATGAGGAGAAATATCTTTACACAGAAAATATGTAAAATGTACAAGTTGTAATCACTTGCAGTAGTTGCAGCAAATGGTATTCAACACATTTAAGGTAAAGTTGGGTTAGGCACATGGCGAAACAGTCAATGATGAAGAATGAAAAGACCGTAGTGAAACTGTTTTAACCTGTTAGAATCAAATGGTCTGTTCCTGAGCTGTAAATACTGTATAACGTGTCATAAATTTTATAAATATTCAGACAGATACGCCTAACTGAATACATTTAAAACTTTAATTACTTGATGATATTGTATATTGCTCCCCCCCCCCCCACCTCCACCACAGTGCACAAGCTAAAACCATTGATACCAATAAGTAAATTTCTAAATGCATCATTTGGTACATTCCTCGTAAATACAAATCAGGAAGGTCTTCCTTTCAATCTCCAGCCTCTACTAGGTGCTGAGTCAAGGTCAGTGTCCTTGGCTTAACTCCATTAGGCTGGTCAAGTAAAAAAATCAGCCAACTGATAAGCACCTCATGAATGTTTTGTCATTTATTACTGTGTCATTAGTGCTTTCCTTTACAACTAGCAGGGAGAAATGAGATTTTCTGTATTAATCACCAATTACAATCTTTTCATCACAGCAACAGTTATACGTGAGCTCAGATGAAGGTGTTGCCCAGATCTCTTTTCATCGTTGCCACGTCTATGGTACAGCATGTGCTGACTGTTGTTTGGCCAGAGATCCTTACTGTGCTTGGGACGGAAAGTCCTGCTCCAGGTTCTATTTAACCGGTAAAAGGTAAGAAAACCAACCAATGCCGGACAGTTTTATGTTGCCAACAGATGCCATTAATCAATAATTATATTTCCGATAGGTGACCAACAATTAAAAATTTGGGACTGCAGCTTCTGAGGAATGCCTATCATAGTCAGGTTGCCATTCCATTCCTATTATGTGCCGTAGCCCGTAGGTACATGTTTCTGGCCCCACCCTCCAAAGCTCTTCAGAAGTGCAGAGTGTCGTTGATCTTGGAGCCTTCCAATGCCATGCAGGATCCATGTTGGAGGCCAAACCATGTTCCTTTATTAACACAGTGACTGCCATATTCTGGTATATAAACACCCCAAAGACACTTTGACAAGCTATGGAAAAAAGGTAAATATATAAGGTAAGTATGTCGGTGGCCAGGTGTGAGGCACATGAATGAGGGTTGAGGGTGCCAGGTGGGTATGTGTTGGAGGTGCCAAATGGGCACGGGGTGAGGATGCCAGGCAGGTCTGGGGGTAAGGGTGTCAGGTAGGTACGTGGAATAATGTGAGCAGGTAAGTGCGTGAGAGGATAAGGTTCAAGGAAGGTGCGAGGGTAGGATGCCAGGTAGATAAGGGGTAGAATGCATACGAGTGAGGGGTGTAGGGTGGCAAGTGAGTAATAGGGCGGCAGGTGAATAGATGAGAGGGTAGGGTGAGTCACTTGTTAGTGATGGAGTGATCAGGCTGTGACCTGGAAGTTAAGTATCTTGGAGGGGTGCTGTGCGGTGAGAAGGGCAATTAGGTGCAGTGGAGAGCCTGAACGCCCAGAGTGTGATGCCTCGGGTATATGGAGAGAGGTGGGGGTTGCAGGGAGGTGGGGGATTAATCTCACTGATTCAGGATCTGTTTTATAGTTAGCCAGAAGTTAAAGCAAGTGTTAATTCCTTCCGACATAGTAAGAACTGCCGATACTGGAGTTAGAGATAATACAGTGTGGAGCTAGAGGTAACAGCAGGCCAGGCAGCATTAGAGGAACAGGAAAGTTGACATTTCGAGTCAGGACCCTTCTTCAGAATTCCTTCTATCTATTCTTAGGTAATTATCAAGTAAATTGGAACCCTCAATTTGTCTGGAGGGTTACAGATGCTGAGTAATTTCCCATTGTAAGTTTGAACTCTGTGTAGTAAGTGCACCGGAACTTCCAAAGGGTCCCATTGCACACCTGCAGGGATATGTCCAACCTCTAAATACTGGAGACTGATGAATCTGGGCCTTTGATTTCCTCAGGAGAATACACAAATGTCTTCAGCTACAAGATTGTATATGCCATTGGCAGTGCAAGGTCACCAACGACTGCAATCCCATGTAAATAGCCATTTTTAATAGAATCATTGGAGTTTAAAGCTCTAAAGGAAGTTATTCAGACCACTGTAGCTATGCCAACTTTTTGGTCAAAGAATTCTGCATTAATTCCACTGCCTTGCTTTCTCCCAATGCTATTGAAACCATCACACTCTAATAGGAGGTAGTTTTGCTGGGTGCCTCCAGCACAAATGCCTTTGATGTCAAAGCGATGGCTGTTTATGGCTTTATGTTAAGTGCTTTTGTTGTAACTATGGGACAATCAGGTTTTCAGTTCATTCAATCAAACAAGCAATGTGAATGTAATTGCTTAGTTTCTGCAAATCCATCGGATGATAAATGAAGCAATTTCTGCATCAATTTCTGTTTCAATAGGAGCAGACTCAATGGAAGCATTTCAGTAATCTCAAAGTGGCAAAGATAGGAATTAATTCACAAAACAATCACTAAACATAGGATAACGGCCACATGCAAAGGCTCCATGTTTCCATTTTCTACAGCATTTTTGAATGGGTCTTTCATCCTGATGAAAGAATGACACACTCAGCAGCCTGAGGGGAATTATTCTGTTTTTAATGAGATCTTCTGAATAGGTGCTCAATTTAGTGCCACCAAGGATAAATACAATACTGAAATACTGCATCATATACATGAATGGTTCTTTTCACCTTTTACTGATGTTAGTAATCACTCCTTCAGACTTGTGAATGGGTGCTTGTGTCCCCATTATTCAAGTTTACAGAGCAAATGAGAATGATAAGTTTTTCCAGTGAAGACAGTAGCACTGGAGAGGTAAAAAGGCTCATAATTGCAGCCTGAATTCCTCTCTGACCTGTTTGGCTATTCATGGATAATACCAATCAGTTCTGTCATTAGCTGAGAAGTTCTGCAATTAGAAGGAGAAAGCAAACAAATTACTCTCCACAACTACTTCCTGTAGATGGATTAATGCCTCTGCCCAACCTAGGTCGACATTTAAACAAAACTGCATCTCATTGTGAACTAGAATCTGCACGTTTAGCCTGTTGTCTGGTGAGACAATGACGATGAGCTAAGAAAGAAGGCAAATCTCAATGTATACAAATTTTGTTTGGAGAGGGTTAAATAATAGCAGTTTTTATTTTGAAGGTCTAGAGCACGGGATAAACAGAGCTAGTTTGTCTCCCAGGATGCCACAACATTATTCTACTGAAATACATCGGGATATTTTTGTCCCCAATACTGAGTCTGTAATCTGCTGGAGAGCATCTATTGCCTGCTGTAGAATGCTCCTGACCTTCAGTCATTGATCTCAGACATTAATTTCCAAACAGATGGGTGATTTGTTAATCCAAATTACTGTCCGTCAGGTGAGGTTAATAACTTACTGCATTTTGCACCCACAGTTCTACCAATCATAATGACTCCCACTGCCCATCACTGGAATCTTTGCTAATGTCCTTTGTAATTGTGTTTTCTTTTGGTTACAGGAGAAGCCGAAGGCAGGATGTGAGACATGGTAACCCAATGACACAGTGCAGGGGTTTTAATCTAAAAGGTGAACAGTACAATCTGTAATTAGTGATGCTACAGAAAAATCTTGAAAGTCATTCATGTGACCAATGTAGACACTGGAAAAAAATTCTAGTTTCTCATCGCTAAAATTATGAGGAAATCGTTTATTAAAGAAAGAAAATACGAAAATTTAGCAAATTCTACTAAGAAAGCAATTTAGGAAATACACAATATATAACCATTAAATAGTTACATAATCTTTTCAGTAAAGGCCATTCAGCCCAAAAAGTCCATTCCAACAGGTTTATGCTCCATATGAACATCTTCCCACTCAACTTCATCTAAACTCACCAACATACCCCAGTGCTTTGTTTATTACCTGATTAACTTTAAGTATCATATTAACTTTTCTCTAAATGCATTTCTGCTAGGTACCTCAGCAACACATGATGACAGTGAGTTCCACATTCTAAGCACTCCTTAGGGGAAAATATTGCCCCTCAATACCCTAATAGATTCATTAGTACCAATCTTGTATTTATGAATAAAAACCAAAAGAACTGCGGATGCTGTAAATCAGGAGCAAAAACAAAGTTGCTGGAAAAGCTCAGCAGGTCTGGCAGCATCTGTGGAGGAGAAAACAGAGTTAATGTTTCGGGTCCGGTGATCCTTCCTCAGAACTGGTGGTGGCTGGGAAAACGTCAATTTATATGCAGAAAATAGGGAGGTAGGTGGGGTAGGGAGTAAATGATAAGATAGAGCCCAAAGAGAGAGAAAGACAGTTGGACAGACAAAGGAGTTGCTAACGATCAGGCTGGGAGGGTGAATAGTTGTTAATGGGGACTGTTAGTGACTAAGTAAGGGTCACCAGACCCGAAACATTAACTCTGTTTTCTCCTCCACAGATGCTGCCAGACCTGCTAAGCTTTTCCAGGAACTTTGTTTTTGCTCTTGTATTTATGAACCCTAGTTCAGATCTTCTCCAGCAATAGAATTATCTCTCCTATGTCAAACCTTAAAACTCTTTCCTATCCTAAACAGGTGTAAGGGGGCATACCAGGAGTAGCAACAGGCATATCTAAAAATTAGGAATCAACAAGTTTTAATCCCGAAGGATTTGTCAAAAGCACCTTTCAAACTTGCAACTTCTGCTACCTAAAAGGACCAGAAAAGCAGACTCATGGAAATACCTAACTTGCAGGTGTCCAGCCAAGTCACACATCATCCTAACTTGGAATGGGATCACTGTCCCTTCAGTGCCATGATATGAACTTCCTGGAATTCTCTTCCCAACGGCACTATAGATGTACCGGTACCAAATGGACTGCAGCAGTTCAGGGATGTGGCTCACCACCACCTTCCCGAGGGCAATTAGAGATGTGCCACAGATGCTAACATTGCCAGCAAAAACCATATCCCATGAAAGAATTTTTAAAAATCAAGTCATTTTTAAGATTTTTACGTTCTGGAGAAAAGAGTTCCAACCTGTTCAATCTTACTGTTCACTTTAATCTTGTATTTCTGATACTATTTTCATACATATTCTTTGCAACTTCCCCAATATTCCTATATCCTTTTTATGAACTGGAGAATAGAGTTACTCAAAGTACTTCAGGCTTGTTAAACCAAGGATTATTGTTATTTAACAGAGCTTCTCTTTTCAATTTTATCCTGCTAGAACTGAACTCCAGAAATAACTGTTGGCAATTTTAATTGACAAACTATTTTGTGCAGTTTTTTAGTCCAAAAAAACATTCATTTAAAAAAAAACTATTCATGACCATTCTATTGTATACATTCAGACAATGAAGGCCATCAGTTTAACTGGGACAACGTAACCAAGCCAAACATAGACATGCACGGGAATTCCTAGAGGCATAGTTCTCCACCCATAATGCAATCAACAAACATATAGAATTGGACCCCATTTACAAACCCATACAGGTCAAAACCGGAAATGACAGTACTAACCATAACAGACCGGACAGTATAAATTCCAAGCAGAGTAGAATAACATCGCTTCATCAGAGGCTCCACTGATGATGTCACCTAGCATGGTGACGAAACGTCTGAACAAAAACAAGCCAGCTTGGCGAGCAAATCAACAACCTCACTATTCATGACCACTGTATATCCCATAATGCTTAATATGCAATAAAATACATTTGAAATATCACTGTTACAATGTAGGAAACATGGCAGCCGATTTGTATGAAGAAAGCTCCCACAAAGAGCAATATGATAGTGACCAGTTTGTTTTTTAATGTTGAGTGAGGAATAAATATGGGGCAGGACACAAGGGAAGACTCTTGCCTTCTTCAAAATAGTGCCGTGGGATCCTTTAAGTTCATCTGAGAGGTGGTGTTTCATCCAAAAGACAACACTTCTAACAGTGCAGCACTCCTTCCAGCTGCAATGGACAGTCAGCATTGAATTTTGTATGAGTGTCCAGGAGTGGGATTTGAACTAACCTCAGACTCAGGCTAGGGCATAACCAGCTGAGCTGCAGCGACATGTGGAATAAAGCCTATTCACTTTAATTGTAGGTGCTGACCCAGTTAAATTGATCATATCTTCACCTTCACTACTAATATCTCCAGCAGCCAGTTCTAGTTGTTTGTATTGCAGACATGATGAGCTTTGAGAATTTGTGAGGAGAAAGTGGCCTTGGCCTAGTGTTTCTTCAGATTTATGTCTGATTGGCTTGATGTCACTTTATCAGCCTATGTGACGACTTAAAGTTTGCAGCATTTTTGTCTTAAGTGAGTTAGCCACATAACTACAATATTTCTAAGTATGCAGTAAAACAGAAGCAAAATTCTGTTGATGCTGGAAATATTTAGTAAAACAGAAAGTACTGGAGGAACTCAAATGGATTTTATTGGACTCAAAACATTAACTCTGTTTCTATGTCTACACGTACTGCCAGACCTGCTGATTATTTTCAGCATTTGCTGTTCTTATACTGTATTCTCGAGTATCTTTAATCTTTTAAAACATTCAGTAATCTTCTCCATACAATGATTCACTGCACAGAAGATTGGCCACCTATGTGACATGGAAATGTGACTGTTCTCCAATTGCAATATTTCAAGGAAGGCCCCTCAACATTTGGAGAAAATTAACTTTTTTGGTCTCTTAATTGCAAGTTTTTAATCCTTTAAAAAGTCATCCTTACGGCTCTGTAGTTTCTGTTTCTGTTAATGCAATGTTATGACATTGCAATAAGTCATAGCCTGTGCTTCTTAATCCAGACAAGTAGCAATTTCTCAAATAGCCTTAAAGTTTGAATGTGACTTAGAATCCATGGATTCCTTACAGTGTGGAAACAGGCCATTTAGTCCAACAAGTCCACACCAACTCTCTGAAGAGCATCCCACTCAGACCCATCCCCATCCCCCTATCCTACCCTATCCCTGCAACCCTGCATTTCTCATGGATAACCATCAAACCTATACATCCTTGAGCACTATGGGCAATTTAGCATGGCTAGTCCATGTAACCTGCACACCTTTGAACTATGGGAGGAAACCGGAGCATCTGGCAAAAACCCAGGTAGACACAGGGAGAACATGCAAACTCCATACAGACAGTCACCCAAAGGTGGAATTGAATCTGGGTCCCTGGCACTGACAGGCAGCAGTGCTAACCACTGAGCCACCGTGTGACTTGCAAATCAACAAATCTACAATTATATTTCCATGTTAAAGGGAACTCTGCTAGGCTTGTTTGGGCATATGTGCAGAGTTTCCTTTCCAGGCAAATCACTCATTGTTATTGGTTATTGTTAGTGCTTTCTTTCTTGTAACATTAGAAACTGGAAAAATAAGTAAATGGCCTTTAAAGTGTTTCTTGCCTGAATCTTCCACACTACCATGAGAAGCTGATCCTCTGAGGCTGCACGCTCTGCATTTTATTTTTCACAGCCTAACTAATTCCCTGAGAGATAGGAGGAACTGCCAATGCTGGAGTCTGAGATAACAAGGTGTAGAGCTGGATAAACACAGCAGGCCAGGCAGTATCAGAGAAGCAGGAAAACTGACGTTTCAGGTCTGGACCCTTCTTCAGAAATGATTTCTGCAGTTGGTTGACATTCAAAGCTACAGCAACCAGTAACTCCAAAGATTAATGTGTGCTTTTGAATGACAAAAATGCCCTCAAGCCGTTGAATGAATATACGAACATCCACACATATAAATTATGAGCCAGCATTAGATCATTCAGCCCTCTAGCGTGCTCCACCATTGAATAGGATTATGGCTGATCTAATTGTAGCCTGAAATTCACATTGCCACCTGTCTCAAATAACCTTAGATTTTTGACTAATGAAGGAGCCAATCTTCAGCTACTTAAAAAGAACTAAATGACTCTGCCTTCATCACTTTCTGGAGAAGAGTGTTCCAAAGATTTTCAACCATCTGAGAGAAAAATTCCTCCTCATCTCCATCTTGAATGAATTATCCCCTTTATCCCCCACACCTTGTGTCAATGCTCTGAGGATCTTGTACATTTTCAGAAGATCCCCTCTCATTCTTCTGAACTCTAACAGATACAGGTCCAGTCTGTCCAACCCTTTCTCATACCAACCCACCACCACCCCCAAACAAGTCATCAGTCAAATGAACTTTCTCTGAACTGTATCTAATACTTGCTTAACTAAAGAGACCAAAACTGTACACAGCATTCTGGATGTGGACTAACTAACACAAGGATAGAAGCTAACATCAAAGAAAACAGCTCCCAAGCTTATTAAAATAATTTAAGTATTTGCAGAAAAGTAATCATTGCTGGGCTTTCTAACTGAAAGAATTCAATGCATCTTTTGGCAGATGTCACATATTTTTTCCATTTTGCTTCCCATTTCATGTTGTTTTGCCAAGTTAGTTACTAAACATCTGAAGATGGTTAAGCACAGAATGAAACCCCTTTTGGGCACTGAATTACAACTACATCATGTACATTTTGAAATTTTATTTGTTTCAAAGAAGCAAAATAGAAATGTTAACTCTGGTGGTGGTTGACATACAAAGTTACAGCAGCCATTAACTCCAAAGATTAATGTGTGCTCTTGAATGACAAAAATGCCTCAAGCTGTTGAATGGATATATAAACATTCACTCATGCAAATTATGAGCCAGCAGTAGACTTCAGGGGAAGAAATCTTTCATTTAAAAATATTATTTTGATTCTTCTGTAAAACCTGATGTGAAACAAATCATTAGCACTGGTTTTAATAGGTTATAAATATATATATATATATATATACAATCTGAAAAGCAACTATACACTTTACAGATTGATTGGAGACCAAGATATATGGTTAAAATTAACAATTATTTTTTGGAATGAATGAAGGTGGTGTTGTAACAGAATGGACAGGACTGCATTAAAGATTTAATTAACAGTGATATCACCAGTCACACTGAATCTACTCATCAACATGGTGTTAAATTATTATTTGTATTATGTTTATTCTTTAAAGTTTCAACCAATATCTAATCTATACCATAAATAGAATGCAGAATATTGATCTATGGGATCCAAATTATATTCTACTGTCACACTTGTAAATAATTTCATTTGTTCAGTTGCTGGTTGACCCATTCATTAAAATGTCTATTGGATCATTTTATTTCCTTGTATCCTCCCTCTATTGCATGGTCTGAATGCACTAAATTCTGTTCAACACATGTAGGAAGTAATAATATTTAGGCAATTAAATATAATTAGAGTTTCTTTTGATTCTGGCTTTATGTTTAAAATAATTTGTGCTATTATGTATTGTTAAAATATATGCATTCATTTCAGCATACAGAAATGCAGTGGAATCTGTGCAATATGGAGTGAAAAACAGCACGGCTTTCCTTGAGTGTACGCCAAAGTCACCCCAAGCTTCAGTTAAATGGTTGATGCAAAAAACAAATGACAGAAGAAAGGAGGTTTGTATTCTTATCATTACATTGCAATTTTAGAAATGTGTGGGGACACAATTAATTTCTGGTGTTTGACCATAAGACTATAGAAGTTTACTGCAAAGGAAGATGCCATTAAACTCATCAATATCCATTTGTAAAAGAAAATTAGCATAATCGAATGGATCGAATAACAGTTTTGACAAAATGCCTTAAAGTTATCCTATCTTATTCCACATCATTTAACTGATGCCCCACTATGAGAATCTGGCACTAGAGGAACAGGATCTTTCACAGATCCACCCATCTTACATTGGTCATTACACAGGCACTGCTCTCCCCCACCAATTTGGGTGATTCACTTTGCCAGAGTCAGAAAGAGCACCTATAGCCCATGTGAGCAGGACCAAATGGAGGTAGCACCATCAGGATAGAAAGTGGAGTCTCTGATCTAGACATTCCTCAATTGCAGGAGCCTTGGATTTCTATTTTACAATGTCTGGCTTTGAGCTTATTAACGAGCATAAATGCTTCAAGCATATTTCAAAACTCTTAAAGAAAATTTGCAAAGTATACTAGAGAAACTCTCTAAATTCACTCTCTGCTCACACTATGGGAGCAATGTTCAAACAACCATGCATTGTGGAAAAAGTGAAAATATCACGTGCATCCAAAATGATGTTGCCGAAAATGAAGAGAAATAGTATAGATGTAGTTTTAATCTCTAAAGTTTTACCTTTACCTTTTTAAACCCTGGGTTCTCACTTGCAAATTAATTGGGATAGGAAATCCTGATGGCAGGTTTGTATTCTTCAGTCGTGACCAATAATCTGTTCCCATGTGAGTTCCTATGTTTTCAGAAAAAAAGTCAAACAATTAAATTGGTCTGAGAGGAGGCATGGATAAGGCAGGGTCTTAGGAAGGTGCACCAACTTCAGTTAGTCCCACATGGTTCCATAAAGGATTAATGAAACATTAGTCAGAAGTTGGCAGCCAAGGTGTGTCCCAAACAGCTGACACTCTTTACTGAAACATTGCAAGACCCGAAACAGTGATACGTGGCCATATAAATCACAAGAGACTTCGACTGAGGAGCAGCAAGCTTCCATCACATTGACTACTTTCACAGAGAAATACCACAAACATACAGGATTCAGCACAATAAGATATTGTATGTGATGAAAGCAGCAGTGAAAGAAACAGTAACAGCACATTCATAATAGATGAAAATGATAACAAAACAAATGGATTTTGTTTCAATGCAGTTCTGAATAGCTTTTTAGAAAGGTAAATGAAGGTGGGAGATAGATGATTGAAGTGTACCTATTGTATTTGAAGCCCTATGTTTCAGAATAGACAGCATGATGTTTATGTGGCCACTGCATAGCATTTAATAGGATCGGGGCACCGATCCAGGGCCTAGTTCTGTTTACCATGAAAACCATTTCAATCAATAATTGATTTAACTTTCTGCTGCATGTTACCTTCACCATTTGTACTTCCACCTCCACCTCCTTCACAGACAGGCATTGATGGCATACGTTCTTCTCATAATGAAGCTATAGTGAATAAGCAGTAGACTTGAATGATGTTGAAAACTTTTCAGGTGGTAAAGAGAAGACTATCTGTTCTTTTCAAATCGTGGAATCCTTGCTTACATCCTGTTTTCAGAAATGGCATCATCTGGCCCTTGTGTGACATGCATGTTAACTTGCCACAAATCTGCATCTAGCACATAACTTGTTCTAGGTGGACATAGACTGCTTCATTATGTAAGGGATTAAAAATGGAAACTGACCGCTATGTATTCCTCAGTTAGCAACCACACTTCTGACGTTATTCAAGGTTAAGGATATAACAGCATTACTTACTTTAGGTTTGGAGATGTCAATACATTGAGATCATTTAAAGAGAGTTGTAATTCTGTGTAAAATATTGGAGTAAGCCATTTTACAGTAGTAATGTGGATGCAATCTCTTGTAAGACACTAATGCTATTTAGTAAACCTTTCATGAACAAGACAGAAATTAAGGTTGACATGAAATATGCAGAAGTAATAAATTTTAAAACTTCAGTGGACCTGCAGTTTACCAAATTTAGACATGGTTGAATCCCCTAAACAAAACTTGACATTTCTCATCACTCTTAGACAAATAATTATGCTATTGGATGATAAAATCCAAATCAAAAAGCAATCTGTTTTAAATTTATGTAAACAATTTGTTCACCCTACTTGTTAAAGATTTAGGATCCTATCTCTGAGGAACTATAATAACAGTTTGCTTTATTGATTCATGTGATGGGAGCTCTATATTTATGGGTAGAAATTGAATACGGCAATGAGTTCATACTTTCTGTCATGTAGAAGAATACAAGATGATATCTTTGAGCCATATAGATGCTGAGAGGTGGTTTCACCTTGGTAGAGAGTTGAGGAAAGTGGAGTTGATGTAGAAGATCAGCCAAGATTAATTGAACGGTGGAGCAGGTCTCAAGAAGCCACATGACGTACTTTTTAAGCCAATTCTTATATCCTCTTGCTGAGGTCATTTTTCTCAGTTACCACAGAGCTGTCTCTGTGATGATACTTGTGCAGTAATAGTTTCTGGGAAGTGATACCACTTGGCTATGGCCAGCCATATGAAATATGGGTGAAAAGACTGGTCTATTCAGACAACCCTAAGTAGCTGTACAAAGATATCACATCCCCCTTATATTGTCCACAAACTACCGCTCTTCCAAGTCTGGAAAAAACCTATTTGAGGAAAATATTGAGCTGTCCAGTTAGTCTGAATTTGTAACGTTAAAGATTTGGAAGAGTGGTGGTTTGTTTTGTTGAAGGTAGTTGTCTTGTAGATGGTCCAAGGTCTGATGTTCCATTCAAAACATTCAAACATTTGTATTTATTCTGTGGGCAATGTTGGCCCTGTTAGAATCACAGAATCTCTAAAGTACGGAAAGAGGCTGTTCGGCCCAACAGTTCCACACCGACCCTCTGGAGAGCATCCCACCCAGATCCAGCCCCCTATCCTATTCCCATAACCCCACATTTAGCATGGTTAATCCACGTAGCTAGCACATCCCTGGACAGTATGAGAATTTTAGCATGGCCAGCCACCTAACCTGCACATCTTTAGACTGTGGGAGGAAACTGGAGCACCCGAAGGAAACTCACAGGCACAGGGAGAACATGCAAACTCCACACAAACAGTCGCTCAAGATTGGAATCGAACCCAAGTCCCTGGCACCGTGAGGCAGCAGTGCTCACTACTGAGCCATCGTGTCGGCTAGATATGAGAGTAGGTACTTTTTATTTTTGTTGCAGCATCTCAAATCTTCAAACATTGCTTGACCCTTCTGAGTAATATCTTTCCAGGAGCTGCATGCACCACCTTCTTCAAATTATGTCAGTGGACCTTTGTTCTGAATACACCTGTATGTCACTGTTGAAGTAGGTAACTTTATTACTTCAACTTGTTGATTAATATAAGCTTCCCATTCATTCAGTGACTAGATAATTAGTAAAATAAACTTGTTAACTTCCTCAATTGTATTATCTGATGGTTCCTCCTTGTTTGATGTGACATCCTTTATGGTTGATGGAGATTCTTCGTTGGGGGAGATGAGATAGTAGTGAATGTAATTATAGAAACAAATAAATGGCACTAACAGTTTTCAGGAAAAAGACATGCGGTGAGAGGAAATGTGTGTGGGTCTGAAAGGGTTAATGCTTGTGAGTGCAAGAAGCACCACCATAATACCGTGAGCACTTTGTGGGAGAGTGTGGTAAATTTGTGTGGAAGGCAGAATTAAGGCCAGGGCCTCCATAACAATCTTGTAGCAATGCAGAGACTATTCTTGTAATCTGTATATAGTTGCAGAGAAGCAATAAACTACATCTTATTTTCTTTATACAACTCTTCTTGTAAGAACCCCTACACTTAGATGATACAGATGGCAACACACACAGTAGAACTTGGGTCTGAACTTATGGCTCTTGAGATAAGCATAAATATGCAGCAAATCCATCTGCTTTTTCTCCTTTTAAAATCCTCTCCCTTGCTTAAATTGAGAGTTTCCAAAAGAATGCCTAAAAGAATTAGCATGCTAGAAAAATGTTCTCTGTTGCTATCATTAAACCAGCAGCTGTCAACAAGACTTTTGCAGGAAAAGAATTGTGGAAAAACACATCTCGAATCCCAGTAGCAACTAATTCACCAAGGATAATGTGGGAGCAGAATTACACAGATGCTGAAATGTTTGAAGCAGTAGCTAACAATAAAGCCCGTCTTTTAGAGTTTAATTCCTACAGGCCAGAGCAGAAAATCCTAGCAGCACCCATTTAATATGGGCGAGCAACAGAAATTCACTGAGCAGGTGGAAAATAGCATGGTCTTTTGGGAGGCCAGATTTGCAGCAGATTGCAGGATCTCTAATGGAACACCTTGTGAAATCTCAAAAATATATAAAATTATTCAATTCAGCAAATTCCATTTCTCACTGTTGGCCTCACTGGCTGGGTGGAATGAGATTGCTCCAAGAATTACCGAGTTAGTCACATAATAATTTATTTTCCATGAACTTTTTGGAAATCCTTAATTCTAATAAGTACTGCAATCTACTGATTCTCAATATCTCAAGGAGAAGGTGATAACCGTGTATGCTTAATGTTAAGGTAATGATTGACATTGCACTAAGAGGTGATATTGGTCTGTTCAATAAAAAGTTATTTTATCAAAGATGGAATATAATGTGGGAAAATGTGAACTCATCCACATTGGCAGAAAGAATATGGAAAGACAACATTTTATTTAAATAGAGAGAGATTGCAGAACTTTGAGGTACAGAGGGATCCAGATGTCTTGGTATCTGAACCACAATAAGTTACAATGTAAGTGATTAGGAAGGCAAATGGGATGTTATTGTTTATCGTAAGGGGAATGAAATACAAAGCTCGGAATGTTTTGCTATATTTGTACGAGGCATTAGTGAGACTGCATCTAGAATAATGTGTTCAGTTTTGCCCTAATTGAGAACAGATGTAATTGCATTAAAAGCAGAAGAGAAAATTAATTCAAATGATTCCTAGGCTAAGAGGGTTATCTTATGTGGAGAGGTGAAACAGATTGGGCCAACATCCATTGGGCTTAGAATAATGAGAGGTGCTCTCATTGAAATACATAAGATCCTAAAGGAATTTAACAGGGTAAATGTTGAAAGGATCTTTCCCCTTCTGAGAGAGACTAAACTCAGGGGCATAGTTTAAAAATAAGTTGTCCGCCATTTAAGATAAAGATTGTTTTATTTTCTCCAAGGAAGTCTCCCTGAGACTGTCCAATTCTCTTTCATGAAGATTGGTGGAGGCAGTATCATTGAATCATTTTTAAGGCAGAGGTAGATAAATTCTTGACTAACAAAGGAGTCAAAGATATTGGAGATAGAAAGGGAAGTGGAGTTGAGGCTACAATCAGCTCAATCATGTTCTTATTGAATCAAAGAACAGGTTCAAGGGGCCAAATGGCAAACTTCTCCTAATTTGTGTGTTTTTATTAACAAGGGAAAAAAATTACACAGGTTCTTCAGTTTTCAGATGCAACTCTTTACACCATCATTGACTTCATTGTTAGTGCCTGCATGAAGACTCTTTTAAATCCTAGGGAAGTATTCACAGATGCTATAATTTGTTCCATATCTGGTAATGCAATTAATATTGTTCTTCTATTTAAGGCTACAAAAAATTTTTAAAAACGCATTCATTCACCCAGGCATTTTAGATGAGATATTTTCCCTTTAGTTAAATGAAGAGTGTCATTTCAGGTCTATTATCAATGGCATAGAGTCATACGGCACGGAAACAGACCCTTCAGTCCAACCAGTCCATGCCAAACATAATCCCAACTAAACTAGTCCCACCTACCTGCTCCTAGCCCATATCCCTCAAAACCTTTCCTATTCGCGTACGTATCCAAATGTCTTTTAAATGTTGTAATTGTACCCACTTCCACTACTTCCTCAGGAAGTTCATTCCACACGCAAACCACTCTCTGTGTAAAACACTTGCCCCTCATGTCTTTTTTATATGTCTGTCCTCTCACCTTAAAAATATGCCCCCTAGTCTTGAAATACCCCATCCTAGGGCAAAGGCAACTACCATTAACTCTATCAATACCCCTCATTATTTTATAAAGTTCTAGAAGGTCACCTCTCAACCTCTTATGCTCCAGTGAAAAAAGTCCCAGCCTATCCAGCCTTTCAATATAACTCAACTCTTCCATACCCGGCAACATTCTGATAAATCTCTTCTAAACCCTCTCCAGCTTAATAATATCCTTCCGATAAATGGGTGACCAGAACTGGACACAATTGGACACCAGAAGAGGCCTCACCAATGTCCTGTACAACCTCAACATTACTTCCCAACTCTTATACTCAAAGGACTCAGCAATAAATACCCTGTCTGATGCAGACTTCACAGAATTATGTACCTGAACCCCTAGATCCCTCTGTTCTACAACACTACCCAAGGCTCTACCATTAATTGTATAAATCCTAACCCTGTTTATTGTACCAAAATGCAATACCTCGCATTTATCCAGATTGAACTCCATCTGCCACTTTTCAGGCCATTGAGCCATTTGATCAAGACCCTTTTATACTCTTAGAAAACCTTCTTCATTGTCTAACGATATAAAATGCAGTTCTCCCTCTCACAATGGTCCATATCCACATGTTCCAGAAAAACTAACAAATTGTGGGCGATGCTGAACAGCAACTCCTTTGCCTCACATCCAGATTGATAGCAATTTGCAATGGCAATATATCCTCCCAATACCTTCCCACATCTACATTCCCATCTCTTTTCTCAAGACATTCCTTAAAACTCACTTCTTTAATCTGATTTGCCATTCTTGTTAATGTTTATATTGCTCAACATTGATTTTTGCTTCTGTGGAGCAAATTAGGAAGGTTATTTCAAAATAAAGACATTTTGTAAATTGAGGTTGTTGGTGCTGCTTCTCTTAGCATTAATTGTGAAGAAGAGCCAATGAGTGATTGGTTCATGAGAAAGTACTCAAATGCCTGTATATTGTTTTAAGGTGCACATATAAACATTGAACTGTGACAGAATTCAGGTAGCACAGCCCAGCAATCTTGTTTTTGCTTGAGAAAATATACTGATCATCTAGATTACAATAATTGATTACTCTATTTAATTAAAGGCGTTTCTGAATTAAGCAAATGTATGGACGATTCTGCTAATAGATCTGGCAACTTGTGTATTGTATACAGTCTCAATAAATTCATGCTCAGATTATGAGCAATATCATAGCGTATGGCTTTAAGTGCCATCTATCTGTTTTCCACCTGAATAATGGGTAACCAGCAGCAGAGCCAGCCAGTTTCCAGCAAAAAGCTCCAGTTGGTTGCTTGACTGCCATGCTGCTGTCTTCTAAATATGAGGAAATGTATTCACCAGATATAGGAGACTTTGTTTACATCACAGACTATGCTTATACCAAGAGTCAGATCCGTCAAATGGAAATACTTATTCTTAAAGAACTTGATTTTAAATTGGACCGCCCACTTCCACTGCATTTCCTGAGCATCAAAGACTGACGTAAGTATGGCACTTTTTTGACCCAATGAGGCTAGGAAAGGATGGTAGGGTAAAGAAATGGGTAAGGGGCAGCACGGTGGCTCAGTGGTTAGCACTGCTGCCTCACAGCGCCAGGGACCCAGGTTCAATTCCACCCTCAGGTCACTGTCTGTGTGGAGTTTGCACATTCTCCCCGTGTCTGCGTGGGTTTCCTTTGGGTGCTCTGGTTTCCTCCCACAGTCCAAAGATGTGCAGGTTAGGTGGATTGGACATGCTAAATTGCCCATAGTGTTCAGGGATGTGTAGATTAGGTGGGTTATAGGGGGATGGGTCTGGGTGGGATGGTTTGAGAGTCTGTGTGGACTTGTTGGGCCGAAGGGCCTGTTTCCACACTGTAGGGATTCTATGATCTATGATCTAAGGAAATAAGTTAAGGAAAAACCTTTGCCACCCTTGGACATCTAATGCCCACTAGATACAAGTTACAGATGGGTTTATAGCTGGGCAGGTGAGAGTTGCTAGTCGATCTCCTATCGAATGTTACAGGGAAGAACTGAGTCCCCTCAGTGCCCCTTCCAGATCTGTTCTGTCTTTAACCAAGACCCAAGGTCATTCAGTCCTTCTGCACAGACTCAAAATTCATTCACGAGCAGATCTCACCCATCTTGCTCTCTTCTCCACCTCACTGTCCATTGACTATTCAGAACTCAAACCAAGTAGCAGCCCCTAGCTCCCAGAAGTGGAGGAGTGTAGCTTTCAGTCAGTGTTTATGATTGTAAAATGGAGAGCAATACAGCTTATACTACTCAAAATCACACACTTACTAAAAGCCATTCGACCTGAGAAAGTCAGAGGAGGAAGGATTTTTATTTTACAAGGTGCCACAGCTGCCAGTTGGAAACAGCTCCTGTCCAGTCTTAAAATGGACTGTTCTCAATGATGCTTTAGGCAGGACATAACACCCTGTGGACTGCTGGAATCATTTTTACTGTTATTGAAAAATGCAGGAGGAAGCGTTTTGTAATGAACTGAGACCATTATTTCAGAAGAGAGAAATCAGTGCATCATTCTGATATAAAAATTACAATATAGGTTCATTTACTCTTTTGTGTCGGGAATAAAAAATTTAACTACTCTTGCAAAAAAAAGGATGTTATCCTTTTCTTTTACTTGTTAGAATGTAATTACTTTTTATTATGCTTTCTTCCTCATTTTTCTCATCTCCCTTGTTTCCTCCCATCATGTTTGAGAAAGTGGGTTAATAACCAGTTCCCAATTTCTATCAATAGACTGTGGACTGGCTCCTAGGAGAGGCATGAGAGTAGCTCAAGGTATTCCCCATCTCTACCGGGTTTCTGCACTTCTCCACCAGTCTAAAGCTAGGTCCCATAAGCTACACCATGTTGCACATTGGGGTTGGCACGACAACGCCTTCCAGGGTGGGTACGTTTTGTTTTCCAGAGAACTTCCTGTTATTTTAAATTTGTTTGTGGGATGTTGGCATCACTGGCTAGGTGAATACTTTAAATGAAAAACACTGCTTTAAGCCACACAGCCGTGTAAAACAGGTGTCTATTTCCAACAGGTAAAGCAAGATGAAAGAATTCTAGTGACCGAGCATGGCCTACTGATTCGTTCTGTACAAAATGTTGACAGAGGGCTTTATCACTGCATTGCTACAGAGAACAACTTCAAAAGCACCGTGGTGAAAATCAAGCTGAAAGTTGTGGATCCAGACCACGTTATCCCTATAATCAACAAAGGGACATCGTGGACCTGGGGAGCTGCTCATGGCCTCAGTGGTGTGCAACTTCTTCACAAGGACCTGATAGGACTATTCAGTTACTCTGAAATGCAAGCAATCAATAAGTACTGTAAGGAGAGTTGGCATCAGCAGAGACAGACTGAGAAGGGACAATCAATCAGAATAGATCACCCAAAACTAAAGGCACTTATTGATAGAAGAAAAAGTCGAAATAGAAGAAACCAGTTGCCTGGTACTTAAGAACTGCCTTATATAATAATTATTTGATGGTATGAAACTATTTAATATGAACTGTACAAAATACAGCTGTAGTCATCTTGTTCATCTTTTTATCTTTACTCCTGAATTTAGCTGTACTTGGGAATGTCTGAACATTCTGTGATTAGCACAGCATTTTATACTGTAATTTTTCTGTGCTATCTAACATCTTCATCTTATGTAAAGTCGAGACATACATTTAGATTTAATTCCTGTCTATTTGTAATAACTTGTAAGGAGGCCATTTTCTATTGGCCAGTTTTTAATAGTAAACTAGTTCAAACCTGTTACTTACATTCTGTAAACTAAAGCTGCTGTAAGCCTTTCATTTTTACCTGACTTATATTTGGCTTCTGTGCCAAAGCCAATGAGTTCCACAGCTCATCCCATGTGACTGAGCAGGTGGGGCCAAACCATCATGAAAAATGTTAAATTAAGTGTGGTGTGGTACTACTTCAGTTCTAATGACCCGTGACTTCTCTTTTCTGGTAGGGGCTTGGAAGGTCAAAGGTAATATTGGACCTACACTTTAGTATTATATTGAATACTGTAATATATGAGGATGATGTCATTTTAAGTGCAAAACCTTGAAACAGCATTATCTTAAGCTGTTAAGAATCTAATTCTGTAAATACCCATTAAATGTATTGCAATACATTGGAAGATGAGCTATTGAACTGTAGAAGGAGACATATGTTATGGAAATATGTTATCTGGAAAACTTCAAATTGCTCTACAACAGAAATAAAAACAGAAAATACTGGAAATACACAGCAGATCTGTTAACATTTACAAGAAAATTAAGAGTAGCATTTTGTGCAGATACTCTTCCTCCAATTCCATTGAAAGATTTTTCCAAAATGTTACACATCTATCTTTCGGATATCAATTCTTCTGTTCTGCATTTACAGCAGTGTCTGTTTCTATTACAGACTTTTAGAATTTATTTTGCTTCTTAACATTGTTACAGATACGTGTTAAGAAAATGAAAATTACCATTGCCCCTCGTAATGAAAATAATTTACAATAAAAATTCAAAAATATTGGGCCATTCTAAAAGCAATTTATCACTGGGTAATTAATGGATTCTGAGACAAACCCCACTGAATGACCCATCTACGCATCGAATCTTGAGGTTCATTGACTATAGTAGCTGGACACAGCCCTGCATATCATCAGCAACCATAAATGCCACAAATACTGTCTCCATCATTCCTACTAGAATTAAAACTACAGAGTGTATAGATGAATGTTTCCTGAGATTTTATTGTAAATGAAATGTTTAAGCTATTATTTGATATGTTTAGGTGTTTTTTGGTATGCTGTTATGTGCAGGTTAAGTACATAAGCTCTCAAATTTAAACATTTCTCTTCCACTTGCTAATGCAAACAGCTAGTTAATTTGAGTAGGAAGGAGATCAAATATGAGTGCACAGTTTTTACTAAAGTTAAATTGCTGTCAGAATGTTAACAAATTAAAGAAAATGGAGAACTTGTTGTTCCTAACAAAATGGCAGTTAAGGTATAGATGAAGTATAGATTAAACATTTCTGTTGGACTAATTTATGTCAAGAAAACATGACACAATGTACTTTCATGGTGATGATAATAAACCTTCAAAGACACACTTAACTTTTTCCAGTGTATGTCTTCTCTACTACAAATAACATTCCACGCAATATGCTTTAACCTATTATTTGTTATCATCTCCAGTTCTGGCAGTTTGGACTCACTAACAAATACAACCCAAATGATACTTGATGGATGGGTCTGATCCTACCTAGTCCCAGTGAAGTGCACTTTTGTGGGAGTCACTAGGCAGCAGAAAAGAAGGTATTTTTCCCTCTGTTTCCATAATTCTCATGTACTGAGGCCATTGGTGCTGTCCAGTAGTGCTCAGACTGAGAGTAGCTGATGCAATTGTTGTGTGTCTTCTTATTTGTATCTTCTAAGCGTGCAGGTTCTTTGGTGGCTTATGTAATCCACTGTGTGTGAGGGTAGCCATCTTTTGGTCTAATGAGAAGAGCCCAATGATGTATACAAGAGGTAGTTTATTGCTTCTTGTAACTACTTTACCTGGTTAAAAGAAGTGACACATGGTACTGCAAAGGCTACTGGGAAGACATGTCCAGTTTTGGTCATCACACTACTTGGAAGCTTTGGAGAGAGTACAGAGACGGTTCACCAGGATGATGCCCAGTCTTGAGGGCATAGGCTATGAGGAAAGGTTAAAAAAAACTAGGATTGTTCTCACTGGAAAGATGGCAACTGCGAGGAGAGCTGATAGAGGTCTACAAAATTATGAGAGGCATAGATAGGGTGGAGAGTCAGAAGCTTTTTCCCAGGGGTGAAGTTTCAATTACAATGGGGCACAGGATCAAGTTGAGAGGGGGAAAGTTTAAGGGAGATGTGCAAGGTACGTTTTTCATGCAGAGAGTGGTAGGAGCCTGGAACGCACTGCCACAGGAGGTGATGGAAGGAGGCATGTCGGCAACATTTAGGAAGCATCTGCATGGTTACATGAACAGGGAGGGAATAGAGGGATATGGACCACGTAAGGGCAGAAGGTTTGTTTTTTAGTTTAGTTAGGGCATGATGATCAGCACAGGCTTGGAGGGCCGAAGGGCCTGTTCCTGTGCTGTACTTCTGTTTTGTTCTTTCTTTTGTTCTTTTGACATGAGTATACCTTTCTCTGATATGACAAGTCCCCAGGTGAGGTTCCCCAATTTACTGTGACTCAAGATGAAATATCCCAAATTATCAAGCTCACACTGAGGAGGGATGGACTGGCTGCCTTTCTTTATTCACCCACACCCCCTTGAGAATTGCAACAAGATTAATTTGAAAAGGATCCTTTCCATAGTGTGTGCCTTCATCCTAAAACAAATGAATTTATGTTTTAAAAGGAGCCAAATTAGCGAAGCTTTCTTTAGTAAATGAAAGAATAAGTTTATTAATCACTAAGCACAATGAGGAATGAAATTGGATGTAAAGGCACCACAGTCCCACAGGGCTGCTCTCTCATTAGAAAGAGAAGACTGGTGTTGAGTTTAAACTGAAGCTCACCATGTCTCAGGTGAGGAGCAATGTTGAGAAGGCAAGATCTTCATGAGACTTCAGGAACTGCACTTGTGCTTTTGGTATTACTCACCAGCCACCCAGCCAAATGAGCTAACCAACCCTCTAATAATAGAATACAAGTATGGATGGAGAGGTTAGTTTCAAAAAATTTAAAAGATAAAAAAAGACGTGGATCAGTTCTTCAGTTCCATGAAGAATAGACAATGGAGCATTATGGTCATGTCATTGGGTGAGACCATTAGCTCTGATGTTAAAAGGTAAGCCATTGATTTTCAGATACTTGGTTTTGCAAATAAGCAAAAGGCCAGATTCCTTTTGACTATGGTTTTGTTTGATTTCTGCCTTCCAACAAAGAGAGAAACCATCTCCTTTTCACCTGCAGCGCAGGGGAATTTTCTCAGTTGTGACCCTTACTGATCACACTGTTGCTGCCACTGTTGGTTCAGTTGGCTGGATAGCTGGCTTGTGATGCAGAGTAATACAGGTTCCATTCCTGCACTGGCTGAAGTCAGCATGATGGCCTCACCTTCTCTAGCTCACCTGTTGCCTGAGGTGTGGTAACTTTCAGGTCGAACTCACCACCAGTCATGTCTCTTCAATGACAAAGCAGCCCCATGGCCCTATGGGACTATGGTGCATTTACATACAGTCACCTGCTATTGTACACTGACCAGGGTTGAAAGTAGCTTTCAAACTATATTCTTAAAAGGAGAAAGCACAAACAAGTCTCTTGCCCAGACCATTCTCCTTTCTTTCATTATGGTCACAGTCTGCCACTGCTCTCGGGATGTTACAGTTCAGTTTCCAGTGCTTTTCTCCTGTTTGAAGTCTTTCTCTTTGCAGCTTTCTTGACACCCTTCTGAAGTGACATTCCAAGGTCTCCCTTGAGGCTAAGGATAATCCTTACAAGTCATCCAGATAATCACTGAATTAGATAGCTTACAGTTTACAATCACAGTCAATATTTGGTGCTGTATCATTTTAAAACAATTGTTGTAATTGAAAGATCACTATATCCATAGGTAATCTTTGTTATGATCTATGGCTATGACAAATCTCTTGCCAGGTTCTCATGGCATCATCCCAGGGGAGGGGATGGGGGAGTGGTTACTGCACTCAATTATGTATTGACCCTTTCAGACACAACACAGTGCAGATTCAGAAACACTGACGAAAATCATTTTCCCCATCAGGGGATTTTCTTTTGTTTCCAGTACATTGGGTAAGAAATTAAGCTCATTATTGACTATTTTAGGGGTGGTATGAGTGCCCTCCAGTCAAAAACAGCATCTATGGTATGCTCACATGTGAGGCAAGTCACAGTGGGTATCATGTGTCATACAGTGATGCATTGGTGTACATGCAGTGATCACCTTTTCAGAGGAAATGCACAGAAGTCAGTTTGTGGCGCCACTCGATGTGCAAAGCTGATTTGATGTCAGTGATGCCATTTTGGTCAGAAGCTAAGAATCCAAGCAGGTCAAGTCAGCATGCAACTTCACAATGATTTCAGATTTGTCCATGTGCAGGTGCCATTAACTGCACACACATCAATTTTTAGGCATCTCATGCTAACTCTGTCTTGCACTGGAACTAAAAGGGATTTTACTCCATTTATATCTGGATAATGTGAGGACACAGACTGTGTATCATGCAAGTTCTGGAAACATCCATGATTTATTCACGCTGTGACAGCTCACTACATCATCTGCATCTGAGTTACTGTGGAACCTGGGTGATGAGTTATCTACCCACTACAGGATCCCAGTGTACGAGTCAAGAATATGTGTGCATAGAATGCTTATAATAAAAGTCATGCTGCCACATTAAAGGTGATCACTGCTTTGAGGTCATTGAGCATCCTGCAAAACTCCTTCAAGATCTTGAAACTTAGCTTTTGGCACTAACCAGAAGTTATACAATAGATTAGGACTGATACTGAAATGCATGCTAATAACTTAGAATTGACAAATGTGGCTATGAGCACTTTCTCAAAGCATGATGGGAAGTATAGCCAATACTGTAGGAATTGTGAGAAACATTTCCATTCCTGTGGGAATCTAGGTTAGAATGTAACTTGTAACAATTATCCACATCTACACAGACCGTAAAGATAAGGAAGAACTGATGCTTGTGTTGCTAAAGCAGACCAAATGCTAAAATTGAGAATGAAGGGGTCCTGCATAAAGTTGAGAATTGTAAACAGTCCCGAAACTTTTGTATTTGCAGCAAGGCTATCCAGGTTAACCATGTGAAGGTTGTACCCAGTACATGCTTGAATAAAATCCATTATGAATGTCTTGAAGACTCAAAATGGTCATCTTAAAATCACCAGAACAGACACCCACAGGTATCTATTCTCATTGTCTTTGGACTGTGTGGTTTGTCATGATTCACTGAGGTAGTGTGCTGGAAATCAAGCCCCACTAGTCCCAGGGTTAGCACAAAAGTGAAAACTTTTAAAATAAATGTGCAAAATCCCCAACTACCCAATATTCAGACCCCAGGTTGTACTTAACAAGAATCATTATTTATAACAGGTAATTAGATCCTAGCTACAGCTAAACAATTATGTTAAGTACACTCTACAGATTAAGACTTTAAATCCCTTATAAATTCTCCCTTACAACCTCACAGGCAAACAAACATAAACAGGGAGAAAAAACACATGGGTGAAGGGAAAACTGAAAACAGTTCTGCAGTCTTTGTTCACAGATGTGTTGGGTTGATTCTTCCTGATTCAAATGTTTCTCCTCAAGCTTCCTTTTTCCAAATGCATTCACTGGTTAGCAAAAGGCGTAAAGGGTGGATGATTCAATTATGGAAGCTCTCTGACTTATCCAATTGCTAACCACTCACAGTATTGTCTCCCTGCTGATGTATCTAACTAGTAAAAGCATGGTTAGTGCTGGCTAGGTGCAGAAATATTCAAATGTTTGCAATCGATGGGCATGTTAATCTTGTCACATGGGCTCGAAAGTTAAGTATCCAACGATGATGAATGATGCGGAGGGTTTGATCTTCTTGGAGGGTTTTATTGGTTCAGCACTGACTGTGTCTGAATACTACATTCCCAGGGTCCCAGCCTATGTCTCTTGAATTCCTGTAAATATAGATGCCTGGATTAAGTTCCCAGGTTGAAACTGGGAACTCAACACAGACTATGGACTGAACACTAGATATCAGATACCCTTCTTTGGTAAGGACTTTAGGAAAGTATAAGCAAATTCTGGCTGATGTTGCAAGATCTTTCGGTCTGTTACATTCATACAGGTGACATTGAAATGAACATGTACTGTCAGTTCTCAATAGGACTGCATTGGACTATACTACATTACTGAAATTACATGAAGCTCTTGGAATAACTATGAACCACCTTTCTTTCACAGGATGCCCCAAACTCTAGTGGATTTGGTTGCTGAGCAATTCTGTTACTGGTCTAACACACCAAAGACCACAAGCTTAACCTCATTGTGACAACTTAAGAAACTGAATTCAATAATCTGTGTATTTGGTTCACTGGAATCAAAGATCAACTGATGATAA